TGGCCGCAATCCTACCCAGCCAAGCCAGGCACTAGACACTAGAACCTTGAAGATTAAATTAAATACGCGGCCAAGGAGGGACCATGCGCACCCATGGCAGAGGAACTGCTGGTGCTGTCCAATTGCAATCAATATGATAAATCGTTTCACCAGCTGGGACGTTGGCCGATAACGCTCACTCGGCTACTTAAGAGGATAAATATATTCTGCAGTGTGTAAAAAAGGTACTTGAGAAGATAGACAGGATGGAACGAAAGTGTAGGACCCAGAGAGTTTCAAGGCCGGAGTCAGTTAAACAAAGGAGAGTCACGAATCGAATATCACACAGTGATTAGGGGCTAATGATGGGTATCCAAGAAACGAATTTCGATGCCCGCAAATTGCTTCCCAGAGATCTGATCCAAGATCGTTCTCCGGGCCAGCATTCGGAGCCGTTGGCAAGGCCTGCTCAAAGATAGGGATGAAATGGTGAGACGAAGAGAGACACTGACCCACTGCGAAGGCTTGGGAAAGGCAGAAGACCAAGTCGAAATTTTCGATTTGCCAAGCAAGTTGCAAGTGAGAATCGACGGGGGAAGCATGATCGAGCCACAAGAGGAGCATAAAATGAGGGATGAATGAGAACAGGAGGAATGAGTGAAATGTACCTCACGGGGTCGACGTCGCAACAAGGCAAGTAGATACTTGGAAAGAAAAAAAAGGGGCAAGATGGAATATGTAACGAAGAAGATAAGGTGACAAACGAGGATGTCACGAAGTAGACATGTGCAATGATAGTACCAACACCCTGAGGTGGTGGTACACGGCTTTTTTCCAGTTGCTAGTGAACACTTTAATCTCGAAAGAAGGCAGCCCGGATTTCAGGCCTCAGTAGCAACTGATTTCTTTCGGTGAAAGAGACTGCGAGTGCGAGACTTGCTGCGATTTTTCTTGTCGGGGGTGTTACCGGATCGTTGACTGCGGCCACGACCGCGCGAATTGGAGCTCGGGTTGTCGTCCGACATATATTTGTCCTTGTAGATCCTGGAAACGAATAGTCAGCCAAAAAAAGTGTTGATTTCTCACAGAACAGTCCACAGACGTACCAGCTATTCCCGACCATATTGATTCCCTTGGCCTCCGCTTGGCGATAAAATCTCGCAGCCTTCTTCAAGTCCTTCTTACAGCCAATGCCCTCTGCGTAACAGAACCCGGCCTCTGCGAGCGCATCACCATCGCCCCATTGACCCGCAATCTCGAAACAGCGCAAGGCCAAAGACTTGTCCTGTTCAATACCCCACCCGTTCAGATGACTCACACCAAGTTCGTAGATACTGAGAGCGAATTGGGCTCGGTAAGCCTTCTGGAGTTCTCTCATGCGAACAGGGATCGACGGATTGGAGTCATCCATAAGCTCTAATCCGACGGAGTCCACAGCCTTGCGCAACCACCGTACACCTTCTTGCTGATTCGGCCTCATTCCCCAACCATGGCGGCATGCTAACGCATAGAGCAACATTCCCGTAGGATGGTTCTGCTTGGCCGCGATGCGAAGGTGGTACGTGGATTCATTGAGGGATCCTTTCTCGTGACATTCGATACCCTTGGTCACGTGTTCATCCGCTGTAATGGGCGCGGATGTGGTCTGTGTCCTGGCTGTCTGCGGGCGAACAGTGGATTCGGAGCCAGCAGAAGACGTTGTATCGGCGTGGTCATTCCTGGCAGTTTCGGACTCCATCTGCGCGGGTGGTGCAGGTTCGCTCACTGGTGGCTCTGGTCGTACAACTTCCGCCGTAGCAGACTCGGTTGATGTCCGCCTTGGAGGTGTTGTACGATCGCTGGGCGAAAGGTTAGTCGCCTGCGGGAGCGGCGGCTCAGGGGTCAACAGCCTCCGAGACGAGCTGGGTGATTCCTGCAAAGAGCGCGACTTGGAAATCACTGACTCTTTACCTGATGGTGATGGGGACGGGGTACGACGAGATGGAGAGGACTCCGCAGGGGCCTGGCGATCGGGACTCTCGAACAGCGGTTCTTGCCATTCGAAATGCGGAGTCTGCAGGCCGGAGAAGACAACCGAATCACGGCAGACGGCGCGTCCTCGAGGTAAAGCATACTTTGTATGGATGTAAGACGACACAGCTGAGGAGGGATCCTCGTGCGGATGCAATGCCAAATCGGATGGAGACGGCACCCTGATGGGGCTGGGCTTGTGTCCGCGGTTAATGGTGCTCTGTATGCCATCCGACGAGCACACCGGTCCGGGAGCCGACAGACTCGTGCCAGATCGACTCATCGGCCGGGAGAAATTATACGACGGGCGGGATAGACCCCCGTAGTTTGAAGTTTCCGAGCTTATGGATGGAGATCGAGGATGAGGCCGGATTTGCACATTGGACATGGGCGAGTAAGGCATAGACATCGCACTGCTGGAGGACATTTTTCGTGGCTTCGAGAACGTGGAGCCTGCAGTTGAGCTGCTGTAATCATCATCCGAGCTCTCGAATTGGCCACCTCGAGAACCACTCGATGGCCGCGAGAGATGAGAGGCTGACGGAGTCAATCCACGCGACGGAATGTTTAAATGAGAAGCTGAATCGGTAGACGAGGTTCGGGACGGGGGCATCACAACCACCCCTGCCGGAGGCGTGCGGCCCTCGGAAGGAACACAGGAGGGGGCAACGGAATAGAAGCGACGGGGTCCTTCGGGGGCACTGTAGGCACTGAGATTGTCCGGAGAGTCGGAGCGGGGCAAGTCAAACACATCAGCAGTCGATTCCTTCCTCGGGGTGGCATCGTCATCTTCTGTTTCATCCGGCATCTCGTGTTGTTCTTCCTGCGCCTCTGCTTCATCTGGTACTTCACTTGACAGGTGTGAGATGGCGCTGAGCCGCGGATGCTCGGACTGTGGGCGAAACTTAGGCTCCTCCACCTCGGGGTTCATCTTCTGCGTCGGCTGTCTCGACAACTCATTGCGCCTTCCCCCGCGAGCATCGCTAGTAGAAGCCGAGCGAAAATAGCCCGGTCGTGGCTGCGAAAGGGAGCGTGCCACGCTGGAGGGAGGCAATCGGCTCATGCGACGGTTCCTCCGAGCGGATTCCTCCAACTGGCGGGCCAAAAGGCGGCCTTGAGCGGCAAAGGCATCGAGCGGGGAGAGCGCGGGAGGAATTTCACCATCGTAATGCTCAATGCGCGGGGAGGGCGCCCCGCTGCGGAGGGTATCATGCGAGGGGGAGCGAATTTCACCAAATCTGGGCCGGGCGGCCATGGTGATACCCAATGTCCGTCCAATTGCTGCGATCACAGAATCTGATTCATCCAAAGTTCACCACAAGAGCTCGATTTCTAACTCGTGAGGCAACCAGGTCCATTAATTGAGGATCAATTGTTGACTATTTGGCAAAAGATGGACCGACTCGCACAAGCGAAATAAAACCACAATCAAGCGTTAACCTCGGGGCGTGCGACAGGCAATCTTTGAATAGGGTCGGTGTAGATGCGAGTTGGAAGTGCGCCGAGCGGAAATGCAGTGGACAACGGTGGACGGTGGACGGTGGACGGTGGACGGTGGACGGTGGACGGTGGACGGTGGACGGACGACAGAAAGGAATGACAGCCCCGTGGGGTGGACCGAGGATTGCGGCAAGTGAGGGGAAGTCGGAAAGCGATTGATGACAGGCGCAAGTAGAAGTAGGCAATTCGAAGCGAATGAGCGCGAATGAGCCTGGATTCAGGAGCCGAAGAACAGGAGACGGAGTAGATGAGGGGCGCGGTTGGATTATTTGGCGGCGGCGGCGGTGGCGGTGACAGTGGTGAGATGACTGTTGGGTGTTGGAGACCTGTAGACTACCGTCGTGATGTGTACTGGCAAGACGAAGAGATGCTACTGAAGCATCGTGGGTGAGAGAGGGGGACAAGATCGAGGAACAAACACAACACAGGATGTCAGCAAGTAGAAAGAAGAAAGAAAAGAAAAAGGAAGATCGAGGAGAGAATAGGACAAAGAGAGAGAAGAGAGGAGAGAGGGAGAGGGAGAGAAAGAGAAAGAGACCCAAGAAACTAACTAGCTAGTCGGGGGAGTGCCAGTTACTTGTTACGCCCTGACGATCGCCAAACCAGAACCGGTGTTCTGGGCAGTCTCCACGCTTCCTGCTGCTATTGCATTTGCTGTTGCATTTGCTGTTGCATTTACTGCTTGCTGCTGCCACTGCCCGTAACGTCATTACAGCCTGCAGTGCTGCAGTCTGCAGTCTGCAGGGGCCGGCCCCGTTTCAGGGGGAAATCAATTACTGTACATACAGACTCTCACTCGCTGTAAAGCACTCTGTACGGAGTATTGCATACTGAGCACTAACTAAAGAATAAAAGATGATGATGACAGCTTCTCCCCCTCCCCCCTCTCCCTCTCTCTCCTCCTCCTCAGTCCTCACCCTTACGTTATGGACTGGGCTGCTCACTGCTTGGCATTTGCATGGATCCAAAGAACCAAAGAGGAACTTCCCAGATAGGCGATATTTGTGCCTTATAAAACAATTGTCTTTCTCTGCCTCGGAGGGGCACACGGCAGACAAACCTCACAACCTGTTCAATCAAATAAGAGACGCGTTGTCTCGATATCTCCTTGTGTATCCACGTCCTAACGCGACCGTCGCCATTCAGACTAATTGAATGATGTGCAGCTTGCTTCCAGGTTTCCCTCTAGCTCTTCATATCCTCCACCCGAATCAGTCAGGGGCCGCATCGATGGCTGTGGCATTATTGTTCGGTCTATTGAGGGCGCTCGGGGAAATCCCCAGCTTCTAGAAGCGATGGCTCGAACTTTCGCCCATCACAAAACATCGGCCAGTGTCGCGCTGTCTTGTCACTACTGGGTGATAGTCGGATTCACCCTTGGGGAGGCGACTGCACAGTGGAGTCCGAACCAGACTTTGAGTTACTCCATTTTACTATTTATAAGTCGATGTCCTTTCGATTGTTTCTCCCCCTCTCTTCCTGCCGTTTCTTCGTATTCTCCCGGTCGCAATGGCAGCTTGAGTTTATTTGGGTTCGGAGAGATGCGAGATGCGGAGAAGAGCTGCCATGGAGTGGCTGTTGCTGCCGCTTCATGTTTCTTTGGGACTGTATTTCTGCTGCATGGTTCCTTGACTATCACTACCACTGACTTACCACCATCACTATTACTACTAATCACTGGGCGCTGCAAGCCGGATGTCTGTCCAGTAAGGGACGCCCAGTGGGATTTCTCTTCCGACCAGCTAGGCACCCTCGTTGAATAATTTGCAACTAAACCCTTCGCAGTGGCCCCTTTCAAGCAGGAGATTCATAAAGTCAGCCATTGCTGGCAGGTACACTGCCTAGCGTATGTATCTTTAGAATCTTTTAGACTTAAGTACTGGACGGGCAGCCTGAAGTCTGTTCTTCCTGTCTTTTCCCCCCTCCCCCTTTGTTTCAGAAGTTCACCCAACCGGACTTACAGCTCACAATTCAAGCTCACACCGTCAAGCACAACAATCTTCCTTATGGAGGTCATGGTTCGCTGAACCGTACGAGATTAGTCAATAAACCCTTCCAACTGACTCCAAGGCCTCAAGATCTTATTGCCTGATTAACGTACTGATTTTTGCAGTGCCTCCGGTCTAGATTGCTTTTTTTTTGTGGTTGGGGTGGGGGGGGGTCCGAAACCAGGCACAATTAAACCGTGATTGGTTGTCCTTCGGCCGGAATTCGAGGCGCCGGGGAAAATCCATATTGAGGCAGCCCAGGATGCGGTCAGTCACGGGTCCCGTGAGTCCCGTCACACTTGATGATGATGGGATGGATGAGAGTTAAAATTGCACAGCGCTCACTATGACTTGAGACTACAGCACTGTTGCCATCAAGACCGATATCACTCAACTAACTAACCCGGTAACTCATGTCTACCTATGCACCATGCACCACACCTACAAGGGAAATGAGGTAAGAGCTGTAAACATGAGACACAACAAGACCCCCTCAAACCCCACTGTTCGTCTGTTCATCTGAACGACAGCCGTTGGAATGCTGGAAGATGGGCCGCCCGGAGGCACCACTAAGCAAAATCAATTGTCTGTCTGCCTTTGAGTCTCTGCCCTAAGAACCCACCACCATCGAAAGTCTACTACGGTACTACCTCCTTACCTACCAGTCCGCACCCGGCCAGTCACCGGCGGACCGTGATCAATCGAGGCAGAGAGAGAAAACAGATGAAGAGAGAGAGAAGAAGAAAAAAGATAAGTCAAAAGCTATGTAACACCGACCAGCTGGGCTTAGTTTAGTGGGAGGAGCAAACGCGGTTCTTCATCTCCAGCGGAGACAAAGACTCTCCCTCCCGGCCAATCAGCGCTGGACTCGGCCGCCCTCCGCAGAAGCTTAGGCTTTAGCAGCACGAGGTTAATAAGGACAGTCGAACAACTAAACTAAGGAAAGGATAGGACGCCGACTCTCCACGCAATGGGAGCTCCTAATAAAATCTCTGTTATTCGGGCTATAGGCAGATAGTGAGTCGAGTCTTGCTGAAGTATCGTTCTTTTCCTGCCCGGCGCAAACACCTACCTACCTGCCTGCCTATACATTGCTTCCTTCACAACGCACCACTGTGGGGGGAAAGGATCTACCTACCGATCTCAGCTTCAACAAAGCCCTAATAAAAACAGACAGGCCAAGTTGTAAGGAGATCATCCATGATGCCCCGACTCCGGAGCCGGTCCCTCTATGACCTCCTGGGCGTCGACCCCACGCTCGACCACAAGCACGTCTACGAGACCTCGTGGCTGCTGCCCCCGCTGGCGCTGGCCTGCCTGCGCGGGCTGATCGCCCTGTACATCTTCACCACGATCTTCACCATCTGGGGCTGGTACGGCACGCACGGGGAGCGCTACGCGATCGGCGAGAGCTTCAGCTACTTCACCTGGCTGACCTACTGGGGCATCGGGTTCTACATGCTCACGGCCGCCATCCACACCACCTGCTATGGCCTGACGGGTCGCTCGGTGCTCTTCGACCGCTGGCCGCGGGCTCTGCGCGCCCTCCACGCGCTCTTCTACACCACCATCACCACCTACCCCTTCCTCGTCACCGTCGTCTTCTGGGGCATCCTCTACTCCCCGCCGTGGTATACCACCGTCGAGCCAGCTTGGCAGAACGTAAGTTTGACCCTCCTTCAAGGTTACAGTAGAAACTTTCCGTTGTTCTTTGTTTGCAACCAGAAAAAAAAAAAAAGAACACGAAAGGTTATTCTCGCCAACACTGACCTGATCCAATGGGATTTAGATCTCCCAACACGGCCTCAACTCCCTCTACGCCCTGCTGGAGATCCTCCTCGCCACCACTAACCCCCACGCGTTCCTCAGCTTGGCCGTCCTCATCTTCCTCCTCCTGCTCTACGTCGCCTTGGCCTACCTCACCTACCACACCGAGGGCTTCTACACCTACAGCTTCCTGGACCCCGGCGCCCACGGCCAGCACAGCGCCAAGGTCACCGGCTACTGCTTCGCCATCCTCGCGGCGATCCTCGTGTTCTTTTTCCTCTCGTGGGGCGCCATCTGGTTGCGGCGCCGGTTAACGCATGGGAAGGTGAAGCGGTCGGTGCGCGACTCGGGAAAGTCGGTGGAGGAGGAGCAGTCCGAGGTGGTCGAGGTTTCTACTTTGCAGGTTTGAGGACAGATCACGGGTGGGATAGCTATGGTAAGGGGGTAGATGTAGGGGGATCATAATGTAATGTTTAAAAAAGGGGGGGTGTGATTGGTTTTCTATGATCAGAGAACTATGGATTCTGGGTCCCAGCTGGCAGTTTCGGGTTATATTCATAGCTTCGTTATAATGCATACTTGCGGGATATGATATGATACGATGAGATGAGAGTGGTATTAGATCCAAGAAATAGTTTCGCAGCGATAGCCAAGGTGATCTGCGGGAAGGCTATACTCCAATTTATAGACCGGTGTGATCCACGAATGTCGGGAGCTTGATCACAGCCGTTCCCAGCTGCTCGTCTCACTGCTACTCCCCGCACTGGTCGAAGAACTCGCCCTTGGCGACGATGAAGAAGTCGTCTGCTGCGGTGGAAGGTGGTAGAGCTGCTGCTGCGGCGGCGGCGTCGACCGCAGTCCTAACATCCAACCCACCAATCCTGGGGGTACCCACTCCCCGATGATGTTGTACGTCCTTGCGCCCCGTCCGACATACACGACGGCCTTCTTGCTGCCGCGCCGGCCGAACACATTCTTGGCCGGCGCCTCCAACGCATCATGCACTGCGTAATGTAGGGTGCGTGCAGAAGATCCTCGGATAAGACTCGGGCCTGCCGACGCGGCGGGCCGCGCCTCAATGCTATTCAGGTACTGCGACGCATACAGCGAACGCTGCTGGACGCTCCAGCCTAGCACCTCCGTGCCGGCGATGTGGCCCTGCGGGGTCCGGTACGATGGTCCGAGGTCGATGTTGCCGAGCTTCAGCTCGACAACGTGGAGGTTCGGATTGGATGTCAGCTCGCGGCGGAGGGAGGTGGCGAAGCCGGATAGTGCGCGGGTGGTCGCGACTTCCGGCCCGCTGAAGGGCGCGGAGAGGGATGAGGAGATTGTGGGGTAGGCGACGATGATGGTGCTGTGATTGTTGCGGACTTGGAGGAGGGGGAGGAAGAGTTGTGTGGTGAGGATAGGAGAGAGAAGGCGCGTGTTGATTGTGTCGATCCAGGTCGACGGCGGGATTGTCGCGACGGGGCCGCTGGTATAGTTGGGTGAAGGGACTATGATGAGCCCGCTCAGCTGGCAGGTGTGAGGCTGGAGACCGGCGACGGGCGATTGTGGTTTGGTGATGAGGGTGTGGATTTCGCTGAGGGAGGGGTGGATTCCAGATGGGTTGGTGGATGTCTATGGCCGTGATGGTTGCGTTAGCCAAGGGTCTTTGAGACGAGAGTGGAGGTAGTGTTTCGCTCTTACGGTGGAGAGGTCAAGCCAGAGCGACCGGATGTCTTCGCGACTCTCGCTTCGGATGATCTGTTCTTCATCGCTGGAGGAAACTGTAACATAGACGATGTATCCCCGACGCTCAAGATCAGATGCGATCGCTCGAGTCATCGGTTCGTGCGCCGATCCCGCGATAACTGTTGCGACAAGTTAGCTCTTTGCGCAGCTTGTCATTTGGGTTCTGGTCCCATGCATACCCACGATTTCCTTGCGGGCGCCATTCCCAGCCCTCCTTGCTCGCCGCCGCTTCCCATTAAACTTTTTGTTACCATAATAGAGGACGCAGGTGGTTCCAACGAAAGCGAGGATCGCCGCGCTCCATGCTCGGTTTTGCAACACCCAACCATGCACGCGATCAACCAAAGACTGTGATATGACCGGGTTTGGTCGGTACTTGGGTGAAGGGCGGACCGTAGAAGGGAGCCATGTCTGATTGGAGAGGGTATCACGAATCGCGTCCGCGGCGTGGTCGACTTGACGATCGATAGAATCGGCGACCTGATGAGAATATCGCCTTACGTCATGCGGTATCGATGCCAGCTGCGACAAGCAGAAAAAAATTCGTGTCAGTGCGCGATGAATCTGCAGGTTAGGGGGAAAGAGCCCACATAGTCGAAAAAAAACTGGTCGTCACTGGTCATGGTGATGATAGTTTGCTGCACTCAAACGGGGCAGCCGTTGGATGGAGATGGGGTGGGTGGTGGATAAAAAGATCGAGGGATAAACTGAATCCCCCAACTTATCGGCGGGCCGGTCACATGAGCGTCTTCGCCCTATGGATGGACTATCATCGATCATTCCTGGGTATCTATTCAGCAACTATTGATGTGTTGATGTGTCACAGTTGAATATATCAAATACTTTGATGCTTTGATGTCATTCTAAGCTACTTGCTTTTCAGTCTGGATGACACAGTCGTGCTACTAGTATAACATTTTCGAATCTTGGTTAGAAGTAGATGTATATATTTGGTACCGTACTCCAACCACAAACATAGCGACTGTGCACGCCACTTCAGACAAATCTATATCAACCGAAACCCATGTACTCGAAGTACACAATGATGCTGCTGTGTTTCCAAATGTCAAGAGCTACAAAAAACCGTGGACTTATATAGTATAGCTACCCCAGAAAGTGCTTTGGCGCCTTCTCAAACAACCGAATGGTATCCTCCAGCCGCTTCTCATACTCCGTCATCTCCTGGCTGTCCTGATCGTCGTCCGTGTTATTCGCCTGCTCATCTTCATCATGGTCGTCATCTTCACCCAGTAGTTGCAACTCAACTCCATCTCTTCCTCCACCACGAACCGTGTTCACCGACATGATGTCTCGATATAGCCCCATCGACATTGGTAGCGTAATCCCTTCCACACCATTGCTACCCAACTTGATGAACTTTGCATCCAGCAACCGAAATTGCGCTGCCCAGACGTGTTCGTCTTCAACCTCCATCGCAATCTCCCACGATGCGCCCTGGCCAAGCTTCACCGATCCGCCCACAGGCACACTCGATAGTGCACCAATGACCGCAGACGAAATGCCCACCGAGACTTGATTCGACTGACTCCGCGACACAATCGTGCGGGTACCTTCTAGAAGGTATAGTCCGGTAAGAAGCCAGATCTTCGGACGGCGTGCGAATTTGAAGTTGAGGAGATAGGAGCTGCGGGCTGCGGAGAGCCAGAGTTTGAGTTTCTGTTGGGCTTGGGGATTACTGAGGACCGAAGTGATGAGGAAGGATTCCGGACTATGGCTCATATGTGAGTCTGAGCAGTTCATGGTTCATCTGTATAGGTTGCAGATTGACACACTCTTTCAGAATAACTCGTCTTCCCTTCCTTGCGGTAACTATACGCTCAAGCTCCTTGTTATACGCTAGACGGAGATCGATTATATCGCCACCGCTGAGACCAACACCGGGAGAAGTGCGCGAGGAACCACGAAAGACAACATTGGCGAAGTCACTTGCATAAGTGTGTTCTTGCAACGCCTCCTCACTGCGCAATCAGCCAGTCAGTCCTGTACGGTGCTTGGATTGATTTACTACCTTACCTGAGCAGATCATGAGTATAGTGACGCGCTGCCAGTGGCTGCCAATACTTTTCCAGCACCAAAGAGCCAAGAGTCAAGGCCTCTGGCTTCTCGCCCACCCCATAGAGGTAGAATGAAGAGTCGTCACTCGCTGCCATGATTTGAAGCCAGGAGAAGCTTGGCTTTGAAGGATCGTTCAGCACAGTACAGAGTTGCCTAAGGTTTCCATATACTGACGATCGAAGTCAATCGACAACAAGGTGCTTTATGGGTCCGGTCCAGTGGAGATCTTGAGATATTCTTGACATGTCTTGACCGGGCGGCCCGCGCGGGGCTCGATCAGTGCGGCTGAACTCCATCCCCATTCCTGCCAGATCGAGTAATTCCTGGCGAAGGCAGCCTAAGCAGTTCCAAGCAGTAGTAAGCAAACAAGGCCATTCATCATCATTTGACTCACCCTTCCCATATGGACTCTCACTTCTTCTCTTGACATGCTTCTGTTGCTGAAAGCCTGCACGCAAACCCCACTAGCAAACGCGGCAGTCATGGATTTTGATCACTTCCTCGGTCTTTGCGGTCGATCACTGTTTGCCGAGGAATATCGCGGAGATTTCGATGCTGCTTGGGAGGCATTGCAGCAAGCCAAGCCAAGTGACCCCACTCCCGAGCCAGAGCATTACGCAGAGTACCTGCGATGCTTGTCCATTTACTCGATTCTGACAGGCAGGCTACGAGACGCCCAGGAAAGCTTGAATATCTTGTACAATCTTCTCGGCCAGCTATCTCCAGAATGGGGTCTGCGTTATACCAACTACACTCTACTATGCGATCACTATCGGCGCTATCCACCCTCGCTCCGCTTCTTCCACGAGAGAGGAAGACCTATCAATCTGAACACCCTCAGCGACATTATCGGGCCAAATGCTATGATGGCCAAGTTTGCAGAGAATTTCCAGCAACACTTCCCTTTGGGGAATCCTCGTGATCAGTTTCTCTGTCAGATACTAGGCGCGGTGCAATGGTTGCCGATGCAAACAAGGAACTTGGTGTCTACATATCATCCCTTATTCCCGGGTGTTTCGTCGAAGCGCTCTGATACCTTGGACTGGGAAACAGTCATTCCGGAGAGCGCCAAGTTTTTGATCAACTACCGGAGTCTAGCAGAATCTGAAGGAGTAACAACCATTGCAGATTATCTGTCACGGACAATAGTTGACTTACACATAGCCTGTCAACATCCAAACCAGGCAGCTGCTTTGACGGACCTATATAAAGTGTACGAAGGCCGAGGAGACCAGGTGGGAATGGCTAACTGCAAGCTCATGGAAGGGGACAATATCCTAAGTCCTCCATTTGCAAGCCCAATCTCTCTCAGTATGGTACTCGTAGAATCTTCATCAGCAGTCGGGGGCGATACCCTATGGGATCCCATTGATTTCAATCTCAAATTCGACTACACATCACAGGCGAGGGATTGTTACGCATCAGCACTGAGCCTCTTCCAGAACGGGCGATGCAAGAGAGGTCAGGCCGCAGCACTGCTTCGGCAGGCTTGCTGCTTGCACAACGAACAACGTCATCTCCGCGGCGCAGATAAACAAAGCGTTGGCTTACTTGATAAGGCCGAGGAAAAGTTGCGCCAAGCGCATGCTCTCTTTGCCAGAGATGAGGCCAATACTCGATTAGTTGATGCTCACCGACTTCTTCTCGGTATAACGAGAGGAGAGGTAAGCAAGACTAGAGCCATGGCGCAAGACATTGGGCAGTGGGGAGTCGAGGCGAGAAACGAACTGATGGCACATGGACTCGGGCTTCTCATGATGCGCTTCGCTTACCATGAGTGGAATCGATTTGGCAGATTAGATACTGCTCTTTCTGCCTGGGAGTGTGCATACGAGGTGTTCGATGCTATCAATGATGTGATTCCAAAATTCCAGACTCTGATGTCTCGGGCAGCGGCGCATCACGATATGTTCAACGACACAGCGGTAAAGATAATGGCTCCCAAGGCGCGAGCTATGGTAGGTTCTGTCAGCGACACGTACGACAGAATCTTGGATGATGCACCAGATACGCCGTTGGGAATGGCCGACCGGAAGACCGTACTTGCGAGTAAGTTCAATATGATTTGGACGTTTGAGACCAATATAAGCCACATATTCCTTCGCTTAGAGGACTTTGAAGCCCTCGAAGATTGGCAGAAGAAGCTTCTGGGCTTTATTGAGCAGGATGAAAGCTTTCAACATTTTATCGAAACTATCGAGCAGAAAAATGGCTCTGGCTTATCACTCCCCGAATTCGGCTACTCCCAGACTAGGCTAAAAGGGTTGTGGAAGGAAACAATGGCTCATCATGCAATCAGACTCAGGTATGCTTCGGCTGATATCAAGAGTCGTGAAGACCTCATGGAAGGAAACATTGATAGAGCTAGAACGACTCTTCGCCGCTTTGTGAATGATGCTGAACAGATGGAGCTGGTTTACACACGAGATCTGTACCGCATCTTGGCTTGTGCGCACATTGGGGACCGAGCCAAAGCCCGTTCTATACTGAACACCATCAGTGATAACATGCTCTTTGGAGGGAGCCTGGAAGAATATCTCCAGGGAAGGGCGCTTAAAACCACCTTCCCCGCTATTGCCGAGAATGCTCTGATGTTTACAATCCATGGAAACGACTTGGACAGAGCATTCAGGGTAGTCAATCTGATCACAAAGATAGTTCCAGATTTCTTTAACTGGACCTTCGAGAACATCTACAATTACTCTTACCGACTCGGGAACTATGGCACAATTTTACTCAGTAATCATTACCCCCAAGAAGCCTTTCGTCAGTTACTTGAGGCACGTCAGCTTATTGAGCTCCGCCGTACCTATACTACTGATGTTGATGCCAGGATTGGAAATGCAATGTCTAGGTGGATTTACGAAGTATTTTTGGATCTAGCCCGCGCCTGTCTTCGCTGCCAGGAGGCCGGTGTTCCGCTGGCCGTGTTGACTCAGTATAAGCATGGACATTCTGGGAATATCTCCTGGCTAGAACATGCATTACTTTTCCTAGAAGAAAGCAGAGCTCGTGCTGTGCTTGACTCATTACAAGTTGGATCAGGTGACGAAGGAAAATCTCACAAAAGAATGGCTTTACTTTCGGAAGCCATATATAAGCAACGAGCCCTCAGAGTGCTACTCGCTCTAGACCACCTCAGCCCCGAGCAGGAGAAGGAACTCTCCCAGCTTCAGAGAGAGATTGATGAATTGGAAGGCAGTGGGAAATCTTCAGCAACTACTGGGTTCATTGCTGCAGCAAGCTCTACAGTTGAGCCCCAGTTACTTTATCAGAATATTGACGAGGATACAGTAGTGATAGAGGCCACCTTTGGGGTTCAAGGGTTTGTGGCATTTGCGATTACCAAGAACGGAATTCAGAAAGTTCACTACGGAGCTGCGCGCTCTGTCGACATGCAGATGCCTGCCATGCGGTTCATGCAGGTCCTCAAAGAAATGACCGGGTATCGAGGAGAGGAGGAAGACACCCGCAAACGGGTTCTCAACCAGTTGTCCGCAGAGATATCCTCAGTATTGTTGACGCCGTTTGCAGGCACGGTCAGACTGAAGTCGCATGTCGTCTTTTCCGTGTCCGAGCCTTTCACAGCATTTCCTTTCTCTGCCCTTCTCTTCGACGGCAAACCATTGATTGTACATGCATCGGTATCACAAATCCCCAGTCTGACAGTCTTGTACTATGTCTCTCAGCGGCAGTCGGCTTCGCGACTACCGGAACCCACAGTAACGGTGTTTGCGAAGTCGCCTGTCGAACCTTCGGCCGCAGAGACAAGAGCCGGAAATGAGGATGATCTGCACATGGCAGGTATCGAGGCAGTCAACATCGCCCGAATATTCTCCACCTGGCCAATCGAAGCGTCGCGTCTCTCACGAAAGAGCTTTCGCGAGTATATCAGGGGTGTATCGTCCGTCCTACACATCGGAACTCACGGCAATGTGGACCTCAAGAATCCTCTTATGTCGTCGATCTCGATCGGAGAGGACTTTCGGGTTCTTGATCTGTCCGAGATCCAAAGTAAGGCAGATCTCATAGTATTCGCGGCATGTTTGAGTGGACTTGGAAAAGCAACCATTGGCAGTGAGGTTTTGGCCTTTTCTCACGTCGTGCTTGGCACTGGATGTCAAGCCTTCATGGGCACACTGTGGGAAGTCAGCGACTTTGCATCCATGCTGATGATGACAATCTTTTATCGGAACCTCAAAGAAAAGAAGCAGTTTTCATTGGCAGAGGCATTGAGGGATGCACAAAATGAGCTTCTTCAGTTTGACAGTGGAAAGGCAAGCCAATTTGTGGATAACTTGCTGGAATCATGGACCTCAGAAACGACTAACAATGCGGGTCCTCGTCCTGATGAGTTCGTGCCAGATGCAAAGTGGCTGCTTCAGATGTCGAAGATGATTCTGGATCAGCTAGACTGGTCGAGTCCTTTTTATTGGGCACCATTCATGCTGATGGGCAGTGGCGGACATCGCCTGTCCCATCTGGAGGTTTAGTGACAGCGTAGGTTCTACTATTGACATCTATCATATCTTTTCTGTAAGTGTGATTAAGCAGATGCAATGATATAGACAAATCGGTAAGTTCACTTCCCGCAACACGGCATGTCAAAGTGTTACGAAGGCAGTTCCTGGCTCATGGAGAAAAGATGAGAATTGCCTCAGAGGACTGCTACGAGGCAGGGGCACATATTTTCCATCAACAGAAACAAAGACTACCGCAATAAACATGATATGTTACTGCTCAGTCATAGCAAGAAAGGATAAGATGGAGATCATTCAACTTGAAAAGCATGCATTTCCTGACCATACGGTGCATGTTTGTTCCAGACCTGTTCAATGACTATTGTAATGAGCCAAAGTAGTCAAGCAGATAACCCTTCACTCTGAAAATCTCAATACTACGCTCTCCAAACGCCGTCCAGATTATTCTCATTACTGATCCCGTCACCATCCTTTGTAAGCCTCGTCACTTTCGCAACTCGCTGAAATGTCCTCCCATCTTGTTCATCACGAGCTTCACTCTTCCTCGCCCGCAGCAGCAGCAGCAGCAGGCTCCTTATCCTCCTCCTTGTCCTTGCCAGCCTTGGGGCTCTTGGCCGCCTTCTTGCGTTTCTTGTGAGGAGTCGCCGGCCCGGCTTCGGTGTCAGCTCGCTTCTGCTGGCCTTTCTGGAAGCTGACTCCACTTCCGCTCTTGCGGTATTTGTCCAAGTGTCTTTCGATCGCCTTGGGGGTAGGCTTGTCATCTCCGGCTGGAGATTCGGATTGGTTAGCTATTGCAAGCATGCTTTAATGAACATTTATGTTGCAGATCCAGAGGGTTCTGCGATGAGATCGACTTACGCCATGCCTGAGAGACCTTGTCGAGGTCGAGGGTGATGGTTTGGGTTTCGAAGATGAGCTTCCAGAGCTGAGACGAAGGAGTCAGTATTTAGTATATCTCAGAACTGTAAGAGAAAAAGCGTAGGGCTGGGAAGACTGTACGAGCTGTTCGTTCTCGTCGGTCCAACGCATTTTAGTGGCTGGCCCAACTGGCGATTTTCTGGTTTGGAAATGCGGTGGAGTTGTGATTAAGTAGGAAGGGGTGTGTTGGATGAAATGGGCTGAGTTAAGTGAGAAATTGTAGCTTGGTCAAAGATGACTGGGGGTAGAAGAGATGGAATCAGTGGGTGGATCAGGATGAGAGGAGAGAAAACAAGTAGGTAGGAGTTTGATGTGAATGTTACTTACTAGTTCAACCATAGCAATGCATTCACTCAGGGTTGAAGGACAAAGTGCTGGGGAAGTAACACAACTACTGAAGACCTGGGTCGATTGCACCGGCCTTCGCTCATGAAAGCTGTCTATTTGTTAGGCTACAGAAATGTCTCTGATGAGGATTTACTTTAGGGTTGTATATCAAATCTTCGTCGGGTTGAAGAGTACAGAGAACTATATTCGAGCACAAGCTTTGTGATTAGAGGTCCTTTGCTCTATATAATACTCATGACAGTTTTCTCCCTGATATCTGTAGATGTTTTTATCACTAGTAGTGCAGTTTAAGAATCTTGCCACAGATCAAGAGGGTTAAATCTATACTGATGTAGCGAACGCACGTGACATTTGTAGAGCCTGAGTGCCTGAGGTAGTGCAGTGATTAGCAATCCCTTCCATCCATGCATTGTTTGCCCACCTTTCTTTCTGCCTCCTAACTTTAGTATCCACGGTCTTTCTTGAATTTGCTTTCTGACCGGAGAATTCCATTCTTTCCCTCAATCTGCTTCTGGGTGTCGTTGCGTCCCTATTTTCCCCCAGCTTTGGGGCCTCTCTTTTGGTGATCAGTTCTTAGATGTGATTTTCTTGGGTGGCGGAAGTAGTAGCTTGCGCCTGTGATAGGCTTCTAGCATAAATACTTCATGCCGTCCTAATATTCTCATCACATCGCTTTTACTCAGTTAACTGCCTTCTTTCAATCATCTCAGCTTAGCCCTACGGTGTGGATCTATTTTTCCATCTACCTGACCGTCCAGCCCATTTGCCACCATGCGCGAACTAGATCCGCTCATCTCTGAATACCGCCATGACAAGAAACGACCCCGAGCTGACGAAGCCCTCCTCATGCTTCAGAAGGTAGCTTCCATAGTCAAGCCCATCATGCGCCGACGGCAATGGAAGGTTGGGATACTGGCCGAGTTGAATCCGCGGGAACGAAATCTCCTTGGGCTCAATTACAACCATGGCCAAAAGATCTGCTTACGGCTCCGTCATGCCGGGGATGACCGTCAGTTTCTATCAATGGATTCAATTGTAGATACTATGCTTCATGAGTAAGTTGATGCCTCTTTAATCTCACATGCCTTTCTCGGGGTCTAATGGCTAACTTTCATCGCAGACTCTGTCATATTGTGCATGGACCACATAATCAGCAATTCCATGCTCTATGGAACCAGCTTCGAGACGAGCACCTGGAGCTTACTTTGAAGGGCTATACAGGCGAAGGCTTCCTCTCCAAGGGTCATCGCTTGGGAGGTCGTCGAATGCCCGTGGAAGAAGCCCGTCGACGGGCCCGAGCCGCCGCCGAGCAAAGACGGTCTCTCTCCGCCGGGTCGGGACAGCGAGTCGGCGGCGCATCCGTAGCACGTGGTACAGACATGCGCCAAGTCATTGCAGCTGCCGCACAGCGACGGCGCGAAGTGATGAATGGATGTGCCTCGGGCGCCGACAATAGCGCCGAGCTGGCAGAGGAGGCGTCCAGGAACGGCTTCCGAACGAAGGCAGAAGAGGACGATGCGAATGAGAGAGCGATCATGGAGGCTGTCATTGATCTCATCGAGCAGGAGGAGCGCGAGAAGTATGGACCTTCGTATATCCCTCCAAGTCAGGAGAACCCTGCCGGTCCTCGTTCTACATTATCTCCGCCTCCGATCCCAGATAGCAGCAGGCTGGGCGCGCCGTCGCATCCGCAGAACCCAGAGGATCTGATATCAGATGATGGATCGTACAATCAGCCGTGGTCGTGTCCAACCTGCACGCTCGAGAATCCTGCTGAGTTTCTTTGCTGTGATGCCTGCGCCTCGGCGCGGCCGCGGCCTTCGACGAACCGATCCGTATCTGAGCCTGCCTTGACAAGCGCGGCCAATACAACAGACAAGAGCAAGAGTAAGAAGCGGCCAATCGGCCAGTCCCAGTCGCCCTCTTCGCAAGGTACTTCCAAGAACAAGGGCCGTGTCAAAACACCCTCGTCCACGAAGTCAGAACAGGCGAACAAGCGGCGACTGGGCCGGACGTGTCGGGCTTGTGGCTCGTTCATGGAAATTGAATGGGCGCTCTGCTCCACCTGCGGAACAGCAAAGCAGGAGTCTTAATTCTGGCGATGGCTTCGGAGTTCACTTAGCATAGGCGTTGGTGTGATAATGTTTCTTTGGAGAGAGATACCATGGCTAGCAATGTTCTTCATCAAGGCTCAAGGAAGGTAATTTCAACTTCTATACGGGGTACATTTCCTACGAATGTCGAAGAGAGATCCATTTTACGAAGATGTTGCTCGTAAGTAATTACCTCTTGACTGAGCAGAGTTACTCTCCCTCAAAGCATGCATAGCTCTCACCCTGACGACAAGTGCAACGGCAAGACTACCCCCAGCTCCCGTAACAAGTCAAAGACTCTGATTTAGCACCACATAACATTTCTATAAACCAAACTTGAATTCAACACATGCAAGTTCGTTGACTTGTTACCCAGATCCGTAGATCCACCTGCCAGCTGATTGATATCTGACTAAGCGATTTCCACCTCCCCACTCCCGGCCCAACCATTCCGCCGAGCCAGCCCAGCGAATAATTTCTTCATCAATAATTTTCCCACTTCCTTTCTCCTCTCCCCCCACGCAACCACAAAAGCTGCAGCTCCAGCTTCTGACCATTTATGCTTTGGTCCCATTCTCACACAGCACATTCTCACACACCATCCTCCACAAACGAATCCAACTAATCAAGGTATGGCATACCCACCCCTCCACTCCCCTTTTACATCTCGTACACCCCAGCATCAAAACCAAGCAAATCTGCCCACCACACAAAACACGACCAAGGAGACAGAAAAGCCACAAAACAACCTATATGATGAGAGCTTTGCAATCAAGAACCGGTATATTAGGAAGAGCCGGAAGAGGAATGACAGGAAGCCAACGTTGTTTCACTGTCGTCGATGCTTATAATGGTTCTGCTGAGTGGTTGTTTTACGGTTTTTCGTTCCTTCTCGGTCATCGTTTGATGGTTGTGTGTGGGTGAAGCATGATTTGAGGATTTTCCTCGGTTCTGTTTTTTTTTTTTTTTTTTTTTTTTTTTTTTTTTTTTTTTTTTTGGGGTTTTTTTTTTTTTTTTTTTTTTTTTTTGCTTTGGCTTTGATTGTTGGGGTTGTGCGCATGTCCTGCTGGTCTGACTTGATGGTTATACGCCTGATGCGTGCGTGATTGTTGTGTCTGTAGCATTGCTGACCAACTACATGAAATAGGTTCCTCGATTTCTCCAACTTTGGTGGGCTGTAGAGTCCTGGGCTACGATAGTTAGATATAGACAGAAATTGAAGACAATATGTTTGCATTGGGTTTCTTTCCATGAATCTTGTTTCAATTGTTTGTGTCAAATTTACATGGGAGTCTAAGTTGAACCTATCATAACCTTCCGGATATAGAACTTTTCATGCATAACCAAAAAAAAAAGAGGACCCATCAACAAGTCTGAAACGCCAAACACATGCACGTAGACAGATAGTAAAAACAAATAAACCTGAACAGAATGTGTTCAAGCAATGCTGACGAACTGCCGCTTCTTGCCCGTACCTGCCATGCCCTCCGTTTCCTCGTAGGCGGCCTCGTCAATGTAGTCCTTCGTGCTCGACTCTTTGATCTGCTGCCCAACGAACTGCAGCGCGGACATGTTGAAACCCATCTCGTCTTTCTGACGAGCCAGCACCCGACGCAGACTGGCGCGGATGCCGTCGAGCATCGGCCGCATCATCTTGCTCGCGACAATCTGGCGATGGTGCGTCTTGAGGATGAAGAAGAGGACACGGCAGGTGAGAGGAATATTCCATTCACGACCGGCCCAGATGTTGAGGAATGTGAACAACGCCGGGATCTTCGAGAAGGGCAGAACCAGCAGAGCGTCCTGAAGAGCAGCAGCGGGAATCTTCTGGACAACGTTCAGCAGATGCCGTTCGGCAGAAACGTCCCCCAATGCCATGTACAAGGGATTGCGCTTCGGAGGAGCTGCGTTGGGCTGCCTCGCCTTGATAGCACGCCACTCGTGCACGACCTCTAGATCCTCCATTCCCAGATCCAGGGCTTCGATGATCTTCTCTCCGGCCATGAGCGTGGCAGACGTCTGCTTGCCAGCATCGACGGCTTCGGCCTTCTCTCCGTCTTCTCCGTCCTCCTCCTGCTCGAGGGAGGCCGTGAGGGAGTTGTCGTACATCTCTTCGAGCTCTTTCTCCCGCTCTTCTTCCAGGAACAGTTGCTCGTCGGTCTGCTCCCAGGTGCGGATGCTCTTGTCATGACTGGCAGTGACAATGAACTCTCCGGAGTGACTGATGGCCAACGCCCAGATCTCGCCGTGGTGCCCTGCCAGCTTTTGAATATGTTCAAATTTGTCACCGTCCCAGTACTTGATCAAACGATCCTTGCTAGCACTGAAGAAGTTGTGGCCATTTCCTTCTTTGTTGTTCGGAACGAAAGCAACAGCCATAACACTGTCTTCGTGTGCCAAGAATGACTTGTGACAATCACCGAAATCCAGACCCCAGACGCGTGCCGTCTTATCAGCTGAGCATGTAACAATCAACTTGCTGTCCCACGAGATGTCCATGCTAAGGACCGGGAGTTTATGGCCGTAAAGGTTGAGGAACAACTTAAGCGAATCGACGAAGAACACCTTGACGGTATTGTCCAACAGAGCCACAGCAAGCAGCCGGGCATCAGGGGAGAAGCGGACGTTGAGGATGTCATCAGAGACCTTCAGAGTCCTTGTGTGCACCAGCTTGAGTCGCGGCGTAGTTCTCTTAGTTCCAGGGATCTCTTCCTGAACAACCTGGAAGCTCCAGAATTTGGCAGACTTGTCGGCACTGCCACTGACTAGGGACTTGCCATCCGGGTGAACCTGCAGGGACCATACCGGTCCGTCGTGGGCCTTTATCGTATCGAGAAGAGTCGAGGAGGCGATATCAAAAACCTCAAGCTGACCGTCTTTATTTCCCACAACAACAATCTTGTCTCCGGGCAGGAAGGCTGAGCAGAGAGCATATCCACATTCAAGAGTACGCAGACAGCTCTGGGTGCGGACGTTCCAAATCTTAAGGCTGCCGTTGGACGCAGAAGCCAGCATTCGATCATCAGAGCTCAATGCGACGGATCTGATATCGGTGCGGTGACCGGGAATATCGACTGCCAAGTTCCGAGTGTACTCCGACTCGTCCTCGTCTTTGTTCTTCTTGTTGGCGGTCACGACGCTGTAGGCCTCGATCTGATTGTTCGTGGTAGCGGCCAACAGGTGCAGGGTGCCGCTAGATTTAGTCCTAATCCAGTCGAAGGACCGAACCTTGCCCCCGGTTCGAACAATCGTATGGGGTACGAAGACTTCAGAAACTGGTGCAGACGCGGCGTCGTCGTCCGGCGTCTTATTGTCGGTCTCGGCGACGGCTCCTTCCTTGTCTGCAGCACGCTGCGCATCCTTCTCCTTTCTTCTCTTGCGCTTCCTTGCCAAGCTCTTCTGCACTTCGACCTGTGAGCGGATCCGCCAAATCTCGACCGCCTTCTCCGAACCGTGAATGCCGATGTAGTCCGACCGGGGGTGAAAGCTGATTCCGATCGTGCGATCTTTGCCGTTGCGGTAGAGAGTTCCTCTGTCCGTCAGAATCCTCTGACCTTCAGATCCAACTTTCTCCTTGGAGATTTCGATCATAGCGCTCTCATCGATAGACCAAACCTTGAGCTCTCCGTCATTGCCGGCGGTGATGCAACCACTCTCGTCGGGGGAGAGCCCCAAACTCCAGCATTCACCATTCGATTGAGCCACATGAGTCTCAATACAGTGCTGCGAAGCCAAATCCCAGACTTTGATGAGCGCATCCTTTCCCGTCGACAGCAAAAATCCCGCATGATCGCTGAGGCCGGCAGCGTTGAGCAATTCGGTGGATGGTGTGAGGAAGTTCAATGAGGTGATCTGGTCGGTATGTCCACGCATCTTGAAAAGTCCGACTTCTGCAATCAAGTCCCACAGGATGATGTCCGTGTCTTTCGAGCCACTCGCCAGACGAACTCCGGCGTTATCGAAGGCGAGTTGGGTAATGGCGGACTTGTGGCCATTGAAAGAGATGATGACGGATTCGGTTCGTGAATCCCAGAGGCGGATGCTTCCATCTTCATAACTGAGGCGTACAAAGTAAGTACAAGTAATCAAATAGGGTCGTCCAAGGGTCATGATGAAGACTTACCCCACCGCAAAAATATCCTCGTCCGTCTTGCTATGCGTGATCACTGTAACCTGTGCTTTACAGGCCGAGTCTCGCCATCTGCCTAGCAGCTCTCCCTTCTTGACATCCCAACAAAGGACTTCTTCACTTGCGCCCACGATGGCTCTCCCGGAGCCAGTCCGACGCGCAGTACCCAGGCTATCCTCATCGCGGGCCCAGATCGCATTGGACGAACCGGATGCGATGAGCCCGAAAGTCTTCGAATGCTCGAACTTTCTGTCCAGGTCAGTAGTCAGATGATGCTCTATGAATATGGCATAGTCGGAGAGCGTGAGACTCACAAATATGACTTCACCATCGTTGGGTGCGTGCCTCTGGAAAAATTTTGGAGCTCGGAGAATGAATGCTATCGATAGGCGCAAATGGCGGCCGCAACTACGGAGAACGACAGCGACCACTCAGAGCCTCCCCACCGCCTGCCGTTCGTCGAGCATCATCAACGTAACTACCCCCTCGTGGCAGTGAACCATTGTTGATAAGTCCAGATCACCCAAAGCAATCCAGGGAGAGAACATCGGGCGCTTTTCGATTTATACCAGCTTAATTTGAGTGTGCTTGCCACCATGCTTCTGCTAGACTACCATAACGTGCTTATCCACTCCCTGTTGACGGAGCGGTTCTCTGGGTACATCCCCCATTTCCCCCGCCCCCTCCGACATATACCAGGCTCCCAGCTAACAGGTCGCCTGATGCTCGCTACAGATCCACCCCAGTCTCAATTGACCAGATCGTCTCCGACTTCGATGGCGTCACCTTTCATCTGTCTACTCCTGAATCCAAGACTAAAATACTCATCTCCATCCAAGTCAAGTGCTTCCGAGAGCTCGTTCAATATGGTGCCCAACAAGTGCTGGAGAGGGAGTATGGCCCCTATATCGTCGACCCGGAGCCTGGCTACGACTTCTCCGTCTTGATTGACTTGGAGAACCTCCCCGCTGAGCAGGAAGCAAAGGATGACCTCATCACGCGATTGGCGTTGATGAAGCGAAACGCGATGGCCGCCCCTTTCGAAAGAGCATTCGACGAATTCGCAAAGCTTTCGGAGGAGGCTTCGAGATACACCACAGAATCGGCTCCTCAGGGTGTCAAGGAAGGAGGAGAAGTTATGGCTATTCATTACCGTGAAGAGGAGGCGATTTACATCAAGGCCAGCCATGATCGAGTCACAGTTATCTTCAGCACCGTCTTCCGGGAGGAAACGGATCGCATCTTCGGCAAAGTCTTTTTGCAGGAGTTTGTTGACGCCAGACGTCGTGTGTTGACGCTGCAGAACGCTCCTCAAGTGCTGTTCCGCAACGATCCACCTCTCGAGTTGGCTGGAGTGCCCGGTCTACAGAACGTCAACGACGGCACACTGAGCTATGTCACATTTGGTAACTTGCGCACCCTACATTCCTTTCTCTTTGTCTTGCGACATCCACTGATTGAGCATAGTTCTTTTCCCTCGCCATTTGACACCTCAAAGACGCTATGAAAACATTTCCCACATCCAGATCTTCCGTGACTACTTCCACTACCACATCAAAGCCTCCAAGGTATCTCCTGCTCTTGTTTCCGGTCCATTACACCAGTCGCTAACACCTCATAAAGGCATACATCCACACTCGGATGCGCAAGAGGACTGCAGACTTCCTCCAAGGTAAGCCTCGATGTCGGTCGGGTGTCGACTGGGTTCATGTCACTAATTCCTGGCAGTACTCAACCGGGCGAGACCCGAGAACGAAGAGCGGGAGAGGAAGACAGCCAGTGGCCGTACTTTCAGGGTCCAGGGGTAGGGTAGCGGGCTTCTTGTTTTCTCTGTATAGAATATTGCGATTCGGCGGAGAGGTAGTGCTGGAGAGAATGCACACATGCATAGGTCGAAGTTGTTTGCTTCTCGGTTGTATAGCTTTACTCGTATCACATGCTCATTTTCTTTCCCTTCCTTGCCTTTGTTTGTCTTTGTTTGAGCTCTACTGTTGACAGGCGCATGGGCCTAGGAGTAGTCTCATTGGCAATTGATCAGCCACAGTGCAGAGTACCCTTGCTTCTGAGCGTGCGTGAGATGGACCGTGACACGCAGGGGGTGGGGAAGTGCTGACAGCAATAATGCCAGAATGAATAAATAACTACGGAGTACCTGTCACCTGCAGTGCTAAGGGACATGTTCCCCTCACTGGGCTCGACCAACATTGAGAGGTCTAGAACGAATACTATACCGTATTTGCCTCATTTGGCCATTCTTACTCATCTCTGCGATATGATCCATTCAGACAAGTCCTCCAGGTCCTCTATTTTCTCCCCTTGAAAGCTGGATCATAGCATCTGATTTTGTGATGAAAACATGTACTTGAATATATGCGACCAGCAAGTAATAAATTGGCCGAGACAACCCGAGTCAAGGGCGGGAAGAAGTATTGTAACCTCGACCTTCCAACCGCTTCCCGCCCCAAGCAGCCCGCATTTGCCGGCAAACGCTTAAAAAGAGCATAACTGCGCTATCGTGCATCGTTAAACTACGGCGTGGCTATGAGACTAGTCCCTCCATTCGCAACGCCCTACGGGCCACGGTCAATCCCTCGAATCTAGAATTGGGTCGCGCTTGCCTGTCACATCGAGAGCCAGCTTTACCAGGAATGTCTCCTTTATTGCCCTCGCAGACATCCATCTTATGAGCTCGCTATGTAAGGCTCAAACGGGATCACAGGACAAGCTTCCAAGTTCTTATTGAACCAACCTTGAAGTCAATGCTCGCACCCGAGGAGGGAGGGCCTCGCAACTGCTCGCGGCAGATCTACGAGTAACCACAGTACAGTACCTGTGATGCCCTCTAGGCTCTAGGAAACTTGGGGCAGTGTCGCTAGCTCAGCCCGCTGCATCTGGCGCTGCATCCCTACGGCATCACCGCAATAATACCACCCTCTATGATAATCCGGACCTTCCGGGTACCGGCTGTATTGGCGTTCTTAGGTGCGCACTGTGCACTGGGACCTAGGAAGATAGGGTTACTGCTGATAGTGATTCATGCAGGTCGTGAGGCTCAGGTGTCACACTCAGATTGCCCACAATGAGAGCCATGCTCAGCATGCAGTCGTGCTACCCGATCGCGTCGTCCATTTAAATGGATTTCCCGTACGGAGTACGGAGTACTTCGCGGCTTTGTCTGGCCAGCGAATAACCCAGCAGCCAGTCTGCAAGGATCAGAAAAAGAAAGAAAGAAAAAAACAAAAGGGCAACGGGGAATTCGAGATTGGTCCCGTTAGAATGAATTTGAAAGTCCCATTCCACCTTGTTTCGCTACTAAATTGAAGAGGCAACCTATTCTAGGCTTGACTGCAGTTAGCCTTGACTTTTAGTGTCCATGGTGACTGACACGCCGTTGTTGTTGGTTTTCTCTGGGTTACCCACCGCGACTAAAGAAGTCGTCCTTTAGACTAGCCTCCACAAAACGCCTCCATCGCTTCAATTGTTCCGGACCGCTTCATGCCAAGGGCTGAGCCTTTCCATAAGCTCAATATGCATTGTCCCAATGAGGATGCGATGAGGCCACTGGATCTAGATGGTGCAGCCAGAAAAAGTCCCCACCTGCATGGAATGATTTCCCTGTCCTGTGATTTATGGGACATCCTCACTCCTCGTGGGCGTCCCATCCTTGCGTCCTCTCTCGTCCCCTTTTTTGTCTTGCGTTTTTATTTATCTCACACCATGCAAATAGTGATATAATAGCTCCGATCATCCTTTATATCAAACAGACGCCCCTCCACGTCCCTTGTTGTTTCGAACCGGAGCTGATGCGGGGATATAGAAACTGGCGACACCAATAATTCAGCTACGACTCGACGGGCATACCGCGCCATTCTCGGCTCCGGCAAGAGACTCCTGATCTTAGCTGTCTTGATCACATAAGGTCCCAGTCATGCTGGAAGGCGAATGTTAAAGTGCAAACGAGGCGTGTCAGGGACCATCGCTCATAAACTAATTGACAGACACCATTGCGATTCTGAAACCATTTGCACGGCACGCTGAGACATCCGGAATAACCCCATGATGCCTGATAAAATAAGCTCTTTACCGTTGGAGATTATCCTTCACATCCTCTCTTACCTACCTTTGAAATCATTGCTAGCCTTTGGAGAGACATGCCGCAGCAACTTTGAGTCGCATACTCTGTGCCTCAGTGGTCTACGGTTAGGCGTCTTTGAAAAACGCTCTCATTCGGCTATCTCCTTACTACGAGCTGAATGGTTGACACCCGAACAGATGCTGGAGGGCTTAGCTGATAATGTTGGGCGCGACAGCTATAGAATATCAATCGTTCAGTCAGCGACAAATTATGGGACTTTACCGTTGGTCTACAAGCCCCCGGCGAAAGCCGGGGACCTCAAAAGACGAGTACATCTGATGCAAGAGACATCCCGGACCCATGAGCATACAGTCCATGAACAAAACAGAATCTTAGCGCAGGTGGTCAATCGTTACGGGAGAGGGCTCCGGAAACTCGAGTTCATGGCATATGATCTCGACGTCACGGGCGCGACGGCTCTGACTGTTAATAGCCGACATGTTCTCAACCACCTTGCGCTGCGGTTTGAACATCCACATATTCGTGATGGCTCCATGCGACCAAGTGCCTGGTTGAGCCCCGCACCGGGGAGTACTGCGTGGAACTGTCTGATCGGGATCGGGCAGCCCACGCATTCTGGGCCCCGTGGATTGCAGAGTCTAGTCATGGAGCGAGCTGGTATCACTTCCTGGCAGTTAATGATGTTGGTTAAAAGAAACCCGAATCTGAAAGTGCTCAAGTTGAGGACGTGCCGTGGAGTGCAGCCTGAGTTCCTGGATTGGCTGGGTGGCATCGAGGGAGAACTCGACGACTCAAACATGGACGATGACAGTCCAGCCCCTGGAGCGAATTTGGAAGTACTCTGGCTGGAAAATTGCCATGATATACACCTATATCATGTTGAGAACTATCCTTACCTACCCGACGAGGCTTGTGACCTGGGGCTTGAGTGGGTGAGAGGTTTGAACAGCTTAAAGGTAAGCATATATATCATTGGACCCTGGGCTCCTTGAGTGGTCTTCCATGGGACGCAGGCTGATTACTGTTCTCTTCTACATGAAGTCTCTCTCATTTAGCGAAAGTGGAAACCTGCCGCCCGACTTCATCAAGCGAGCAAATGATACTTTATGGAGAATCCCAGAAGTTATTTTACCATACACGTCGAATGGGGACAAGGCCCTCATCGAAGTTGATCCACTACGTTCATAGATTGACACTATTCTTCGTCTTTGTCAAACTGTACTGGCGCAGCGCGTGGGTGGGGAGATGCCCTTGTATCTCTTGCTTGTGGGCAGCTTGTTGTGGGCATAGGAGACTAGCAAGTTTACGTTCTGTGTTAGAATACTCTCACTGATGTTCGAGCTTCTCTCGCCTTACATCTTCAACTAGAGCAAAAACAGCTGTAGGCATTTGATCGATTGACTACTGGCACTTGTGCATATAGTTCAGTGGTGGTCCAAGTGTGACAAAGTAGCAGGCACACCTGAGCTATCCCGCCTGTACCTTCTCTGTTCCGTCGCTCACACGCGATGTCAACACAACGTGTGGTACTTAGCTAGCTTCAGCCACTTTCATCCCTGTATGATCGATTTCACTTCGCCTTACCTCCATCCCTGTACTGTGACAGCAGGTCCGGGTCTCTTTCAACTGACTATCGATTTCTGTTCTCATCGCTCACACTATTTCTCAGTCACCTATCGCGTGCTATTGCCTCCATCCATCATTTCATGTCCCTTTCATACCGTCCACTCAAGTGAACATCAAGTTACATCGATCTCATATCTATTCAAATGAAGGGCGCCCACAGAGCCGCTTCGCAACTATGGGCATCAACCAGGCGCAGACTCTTCCCGCGTGGTGATGAGGACGAATCTCACTTCCTGAAACTCGATCCTCACTGTCACACCTATCAGGAATCCGTTGACTCGACCCTGTTCGGAGACCTGCAGGATGGTTTCTACAAGTACTCTCAGGATTTGCTGAAGACAAGCGGGGAGGAAAACTACAAAAGACTGGCGGAAGAGATGGGTCTGCGCTCGTCGGGCAGTACTGCGGTATCCTACGCATCAGCGGTAAGTTATAACGAGGTGATCGCGCGTCCTCGTTCTCCTTGAGTATCCCCGCCTTGAGCCTGTGGGTTGACTGAGGCTGGCAGCAAATGGTTCCGATCGAGCGTCCTGCGCTTCCCTACGCAATCGGCTCTCCTGACTGGAGCCTTGTCAACGGCTTGGTCAGATACATGGATCCATCTGGTAATGAGGATCTCACAGAGTGGATCGAAAGTGTGATGAAGGTGTACAAGAAGGTCTACGCCATTGCCAAGTTTGTCGTGGTAGTGTTCTACTTCTACAACGTTGACGTGCGTGAAGGACACTCTGACTTCTCAATTGCTTTGGGGGTGAACATGGCTAATACGTGCGATTTCGGTGGCAGTTGGACGATCATGAAGGCCTATTAGCACATATTCGGAAGGCTGAGGAAGTCGCGACATCTAACAGTATTAAAGATCTGGTCAGAGCTGTGGAGACTCTGTATTACTCCCTATACGCCAAGCTGATCATAGAAATCGCGAACGCCGAGCTATGCTCTTACTTTCAACTTGGGATCCCCCGCGTCACAACTAAGGACGATTTTATGCTTCCCGAGCAGCATAGCACCATGAAGATGTTTCTGGTCTGTAAGGAATCCCTGGACAGTCCATCCGTGTGCCTTGTTTTCAGCAAGGACATCTTGCGTCAACATCAAGCTGGACTTGTCCGTCGAGCGGTGAATATGCTGACGGCTACTGGGTTCTCGCTGGACGACCTCGTCGGATACCGTCGATTCACCTTGGCTTTGCTGTCAAATCCAATATCGGAGTTCCGCCAGAAATGGGACGGCCCGGGCCTCACATTTCAGATGCCTCCTAGGGAAGTTCTCATTGTCGGGTCAGAGAAGTACCTGTCATTCGCGCCCCGGGACGCAATTCGCACCAAGGTCCCGCAACTACGCCTGCGTTTCGTGGAAGAGAAATCGGTAGATCCAGCGGCGTGGGAACGTGAGACTATCCTCGGGCACCGTCAGGCAGTACTGGCCATACTGGAAAGCAGAGTCATCGGTGAGATTCGACGTACGGATGGGCGACGTGGTCTGATCAATTATGCTCGCGAGAAAAGATGTACCTGTAGATCACCCTGCAGCTGTGCGATGGCTTGTACCATGAACCCCGAGCGTGTTTGTCCTTGTGCCGTATGGAACCTGACCATCATGATGCTGGAGAATCGCCGGAACTTCCCCGAATTGAAGCTCGGTTCTCGGTGTAACATTCTTGCCAGGAGCATCTTCGAGGCAGTATCGACCATTCGGGACGATAGAGATCTCTGTTATCTCGCAGTGGAGATGAAAGGTGCGCTAACCACTATCGCAAACGAGATTGACAAGATGCGGGCGGCCAATGGTTGCTGAAGAACCTAACCTGAGCAAGTACTCGGTTCTGAGAGGCTGTTTCGTCCCTCATGTTTTTGTTTTGTGCATTCTGCACGATCACGATTGATGATTTATGACGTGATGATTTAATGAGCCAAGGAGCAGCAGCCCATGTGCCCAACAGGGAAAATGCAGAGCAGACATGGAGAAATAATGTTATGCAGAGAAATTGATACCATCAACCTGAAGTGTCTGTACGTATGTTCTCAGTTCAGATACATACATATCCAGACCAGTGGTGATATTGGATGATCCCAATCGACCAAGTACCAGGTAACGTTACCAAGTAGATCCCTCATGCCTGAGGATTCAGGCATCCAGTAGTCAGGTGGTGGGGCGGCTGAGTCAAGCGGCGGATTGTGACTGACGTGAATTATTATTATTGACTGACTGTGACTCTGATCAAGGGTGAGTAAGTTGAAGTGGGAAATTCGGAAATTCTGGAACCGCCCCGACCCTGCCTGCCCTGCGGTGTCTCCTTTCAGACTGACTGGAAAGAAGAAACAAAAATAAAAAATTTTCCTCTGTCGGTCTTCTCTAGTTGTAGAGAGACGACAGTAATTCAATCAAAGTCTCCTTCTAATTAGCGGGCATGGTGCCCAAGTCGCTTGCTAGCTCGATTGTGTGCTCATCCCTCTCCTCCTCCTCCTCCTCTTCTTCTTCTTCTTCCCTCATCATCCCCTCATCGCTCTCGTCAGCCTTTAAACACAGCCCACTGTGGAGCGCGCACTCCAAGTCCAGGGTCTCCCCAACCTCCGCAGCGCCGGTGCGGCGATATCGAGCCGTTTGGCCATCCTACGGCATCACCACGCCGGTTCCAGATCTTAACCCACATTTCCCCATCTCGCAATCTCCGTATTGCTTCCAGACGGGCTATGCCCTTTGCGCCAAACGCGCGCCGCGGCCGTTCCCCCCACCGTTCCTCTCTCCCCCGTCCTCTTCCTTTTCCGACCCCCTGACCACCCACTACCTAAGCCAGGATAAGAGATTATCCGTTCGGGGTGATCTAGTCCGGGGCTTGAACAATGGGGACGATGCCGTTCTCGTTGCCGACAATTATCTGGCTGTTAATGATGGGGTAGGAGCGTGGGCAACCAAGCCCCAAGGCCATGCAGCGTAGGTGTTTTTATTTGTTTTTTTGGTTATCTCCGAACCTTGTTCCCTAAATCGGTCAATCCCACCCCCCATTCCCCCTTGGACCCTGTAGACTACCTACATCGAGGGTTTAGGGAGGAGCCTTTTTGTCGTCTTGTTCCCTCCATGCTCATGGCTGACTGTGTTCTCTCTTGCTTGATCGCCTCTATACAGCCTCTGGGCCAGACTACTCCTTCACTTCTGGGCGCTGGAGGTTGAGCGCGTCTCCAACACGAGTACGCAACTCGACCCCATCGGCTACCTGCAACGGGCCTACGAGGAAACCATCCAAGCGACCAGCTCCCCGGGCCAATGGCTGGGCACGACCACCTCCGTCACCGCCCTGCTGCATTGCACGCGCGACCATGCCGGGAACACGAACCCGCTGCTGTATGTGACCTGTCTCGGCGACTGCAAGATCTATGTTATCCGGCCCCGCGAGAGAACGATCCTCTTCCGCACCCAGGAGCAATGGCACTGGTTCGACTGTCCGATGCAGTTGGGCACGAACAGCGTCGACACGCCGAAAAAGGACGCGGTACTCAGCAAGATCGACGTGCAGGAGGGCGACATCGTGCTGGCGGTCTCGGATGGCGTCGTGGACAATCTCTGGGAGCATGAGATCCTGACGGTCGTTCTCGAGAGCCTCGACAAGTGGCACCAAGGCCGCTATGACAACAAGGAGATCGAGTGGGCGCCGCCGGAGGTGCTGGCCCACGAGCAGATGGTCTATGTCGCTAGGGAACTCCTCCGGGCTACCTTGGAGATTGCCCAGGACCCGTTCGCGGAGAGTCCATATATGGAGAAGGCCATCGACGAGGGTCTGGCCATTCAAGGTGGTACGTTGTGCTTCGTTTTCTTTTCGGTTCCGCTGTCTTTGTGCGGAAAGGGATGCTGACCCGCGGTGCAGGGAAAATGGACGATATTAGCGTCGTGGTTGGTGCGTGCCGGAGGAGAGAGCATTGAGTCTGATTTCAAGCATTGATATAACTTGCATACAACGATCCACCGGAATGTCGACTACGACATGCGTGGCTAATATCTCGGGTCTCATACTGTGTTGTCGTGCGTGACTGCGCCGCCTGGGCAGTCGGCGTACTGTTGACAGGGCAGAAACGGCGCTCAGTTGCGCCACGGCAACCCTTGGCGTTCAGTGGGGGTGTGTAAATGGTCGAATGGTGAAGGGATGGTGTATATATTGCATGGCGATGGGCATTGATACCACTTGTTGCTTACTTTGAAGGGGATGCGGAGCAGTCGTTGCTGTCTGCCAACTTAGGCATTTCGTTTACAGATTTATTTGATAGACTATACAACTTCTAATCTATGCTTTTGCCTCATACATTTGCCGGCAAGATTGTAGATGCAGGACCAACCTATAGTCTACGCAAATGAATCCAAACAAAACCCTGGTTCATATCTGAGACATGTAGCCTTTCCATTGAAGAAATGAAAACAAACTTAATGAACGAGTGCAGAGCTCAAGAACTGATCTGTTATGTTGACATGTTCCCTCTATCTGAACCTACCTGACTGCGGCTAGTAAGCGAAGCACAGACCGCATCCCGCTAGCACTCTCCGCCCGGCAGAATCACCGGCAGAAAAAAAGTTTCAGACATCATCGTAGCAAGCCGAGCCATCGACGTCTCTTGAAATCAACTCTATCCCACCTTATCCGGCCAATCCACCACCGTCGAGATGAGGGCCAAACGTTCCAAGAAGTACCGCAAGCTGATGCACCAGTATGAGCTCACATTCGGGTTCCGTGAGCCGTACCAAGTTCTGGGTAAGTCGCAATATCAACCTAGAGGACGCTGATAAGATCTGCTCCGCCCATTCCAAGAATGCAAACAACCTCGAATTCGGCGACTAACAATTGTCTTTTGGTCCAGTGGATTCGAATTTCCTGCGCGCAGTGCACAGTTTCAAGATGGAGTTGATACCTGCGCTGGAGCGCACAGTGCAAGGGAAGGTGAAGCCGCGTAAGTTCTTGGCCTGAAGCTTTCCTCTGAATGATCCCAATACAGACACATGATGTGGTTGGCATAATGGATTCCGTTACTGATTTGTCGCTTTTCCCTGAAAAGTCCTCACGAAATGCTCCCTCGCTGCGATCATGGCCAACCAACCCCTCCACCCCCGCACCAACAACCCGATGCGTCCCCATTTCCTGCCCCCACCAACGGAGGTGCCCCTCCGCCACTGCTCGCACAACGAGGACTCGACCCCGATCGACGAGGTCGAGTGTCTCCTGTCGCTGCTGTCGCCGACCACGGAGGTGAAGAAGAACAAGGAGCACTACATCCTCGCGACGGCGGACGCGCCGGCCGCGGCGGAGAAGGAGAAGGAGCGCGCGGCGATCGCGGCGGGCAGGAAGCGTAAGCGCGGCCCGGACCGTGAGGCCGAGACCGCCATCCAGAAGTCCCGGGAGCTGCGCCAGGGCGCGCGCGCCATCCCCGGCGTCCCGATCGTGTATGTCAAGCGGTCCGTCATGGTGCTGGAGCCCATGAGCGGCCCGTCGGAGGATATCCGCGACGGCGTCGAGCAAGGCAAGTTCCGGGCGGGCTTGAGTGAGGAGGCGCGGAAGAAGGCGGAGGCTAAGGCTGCGGCCGCGGCCTCGGGGGATACCAAGAACAACAGCGGCAAGAAGCCGGGGATGAAGAAGGCCAAGGGGCCGAATCCGTTGAGTATGAAGAAGCCGAAGAAACGGACCGCGGAGGGTGGTGCTGCTGCCACGGCGGCGCCTCAGCCGAAGCGGAAGGACGCTGATGCTGATGGAACCGAGGGAGGGAATGCGGCGGAGGGGGGAGCCGATGCTGATGCTGATGCTGCTGCGCCCAAGGCGAAGCGCAGACGTCGTCATCACAACAAGGGTGCTAAGCAGGAGGATGGCAATGAAGCTGGCGAGTCCGCTGCTGCTGCGGTTCCGGCTGCGGGCGATGCCATGGAGGAATGATCTGCTTCTTTTACCCGGCTTGTGCTTTTCTGCTTGGTTTTTGTGTTGCTTTTTCTAAGTATGGCGTTCGGCTTGGGATGGAAGAGAAAAAATGTGTCCATATATGTATGAGCAGTGAGTTGTATATCCAATCATTGATATCGGAAGATAATGATAACTTTCGAGATTATCTTCCCAACCCGGGATCGTAGCTCTCAGTAAACAAGAAATACATGACACGAAGAAAAGTAAGGCAGTAATGGTAATCCTCCTTCCCCAACGCCAAATCCCAGATGCAATGTGTGTGTGTGTGTGTGGAGTAGAGTACAGTACATATTCCTACACGCCAACCATTAAAAAAAATCCGCTAGCACAACTATCAAAAACAAGATCATGCCATACTTCAGTCTCATCACCCCGAAGACTTTATTTCCCCTCAGCCGCAGCGCCAGCCGCAGCAGCAGGAGCAGCAGGAGGAACCCCCTCAAACACCTTCTCGTCCGCCCAGATCTTCTCAATCCGTCGACGGTTCTCGCGCGCCTGGTCGCGGTTCTGCTTTGCGCGCGCATACCGTTGCTCCGAGAGACACTTGTTGACCTCGCGCTTGATGTCGTTGCAGTTGCCCAGCGCCTTGTGCAAAAACCCCTGGGCGTGGCATTCGTCCAACGCGGTCATGATCTCCTCGCAGTCTGGTTGGTGTTCACGGACGTTAGGGCTTGAGGCTTAAGCTGAAGATTGGGGGAGGAGGGGATTGTTTGCGACGCCGGGGGACCATACTGATGTTGTAGGGGGTGTGAAGGTGAGAATGCATTTTGTTGGTATTATTCTTCGGTGGAGTTGTTTGCTGGGGGGATTTGATCGTAGGATAGAGAGGACTTGAGCAATTGCGCCGCGATTCTTTAGTTACTTCGTACTTGAAAGGCAGCCCGCTCTGACCTTCCAGCGGGAGCCGGCCGGGATTTAATATCAAGGCGGTGAACATGGGGCTTTGGGGAGGGAGGGGGGGATTCTGCCGGGCGGGGAATCGAGAGAGAAAAAAAATTTTGGGAATTGGGGAAGTTGCTTTTATCGCATTTGTTTTCTTCCCTAGGCTGTCTTTTCCAGGTGGTTTACTTTTTTTGTTGCAGCTTACTATATAGAGCTCTGTGAGGAGGCAGAGCTGCAGATTCGTCTTGTTGGTTTTTTGGCCCAGACTTGAGGTTTTGCAAGTTTTTCCCTGTGTTGGGGTTACGCGCGGAGAATTTCTTATCGATTTCCGCCGGGTCTCTTTTTTTTTCTCCCTTCACTATCGCCATCTTTTTGACCACTTTTGTTTAAACGGCAAAGGAAGGTGACGACTGACTTACCTTCAATATGTCGTCTATGATCACCACGGCTGCGTGGGTGCGACAAGGTGTCGCAGCCCAGTTCCCTACGAAATATGAAATCAACGAGGAGGAAATGGACCGCATATCGAAGCTTGCGAAGATGCAGCTCGAAGAAGCGCAGGGTGACCTGAAGGCCGCGCAGGAGGACGAGGCCATGGAGGAGGATCAGAAGGAGGATGCCGGCGAGGATGCTATGGAGGACGATGAGAAGCCCGCGGCTGATGCGGAGAAGAAAAATGCTACCGAGTAAGTCGAGATTGGACCTCCCGTCGTTCGTTTGTAGTGTGGAGACTTGCGGCCCTGAGAGATAAGGCCTAATGTTTTGGTTTCCATTGCAGTGATGACGACCTGAAAGAGTACGATCTCGACCACTACGACAGCGACGAGGTCGATGAGGATGGCGAGAAGTTCACCATGTTCGGCAATGTCAAGTCGCTGGCGTACCATCAACCGAACGAGGAGGACCCGTACCTGGTCATGCCGCCGGAGGAGGAGGATGAGGAAAGAGAGGAGTTGCAGATCATGCCCAAGGATAACCTGATCCTGGCTGGGAAGGTGGAGGACGAGGTCGCCCATCTCGAGGTCTACGTCTACGAGGACGCCGCCGACAATCTTTATGTACACCACGACATCATGCTGCCCGCCATTCCTCTCGCCGTGGAGTGGCTGGATATCCCCGTGGGCAAGGCCGCTGAGGGCCGGACCACTGGAAACTTCGTCGCGGTTGGTACGATGGAGCCGGATATCGAGATCTGGGATCTCGACATCGTCGACTGCATGTATCCCAACGCCATTCTCGGCCAGGGTGGCGCCGATGCGGAAGGAAAGAAGTCGAAGAAGAAGAAGCCCAAGGCCAACGACGAGTACCACATTGACGCCGTGCTGGCATTGGCTGCCAACCGGCAGCACCGCAACCTGCTGGCCTCCGGCTCGGCGGACCGGACGGTCAAGTTGTGGGACCTGCAGACCACCAAGTGCGCCAAGTCCTACTCTCACCACACCGACAAGGTCTGCTCGTTGAACTGGCACCCCACCGAATCTACGATCCTGTTGACTGGTAGTTACGACCGGACCGTCGTGGCCGCGGATATGCGCGCGCCCGACTCCAAGGCTCGCTGGGGCGTGGATACGGATGTCGAGAACGTGCGTTGGGACCCTCATGACCCCAACTACTTCTACGTGACGACCGATGGCGGAATGGTGTATCGCTACGACGTACGCAACATCCCCGCCAGCCCCAAGGAGTCCAAGCCCGTGTGGTCGCTGCAGGCGCACGACTCCTCCGTGTCAGCCTTCGACATCAACCCAGCTATCCCCGGCTTCCTGGTCACAGGATCGACGGACAAGCAGGTGAAGCTCTGGAATGTGGAGGACAACAAGCCCAGCATGGTCGTCTCGCGCAAGCTGGAGGTGGGCAAGGTCTTCTCGACGAGCTTTGCACCGGATGCCGACGTGAGCTTCCGCCTGGCCGTGGCCGGCAGCAAGGGCGTGGTCCAGATTTGGGATACCTCCACCAACGGGGCGGTGCGTCGCGCATTCGTGTCGCGCATGCCGTCTTTGGAAGGCGAAGTCAAGGAGCGCATGGTGGGCATGCAGCCCGATCAGGATGAGTCGGACGATGATGCTGGACAGGAGGTTGGCGGTGGGCACGGCGGCGATGGCTGGGAGTCGATGGATGAGGATTAAGCAAAAAGCGAAAAGCACGTGATAACGAAGATTGAGACAATTTCATGTCGAACCCTCAAAATTTACGAAGATATTTAGATAGCTTTTTTTTTTGTTGTGCTTCTTTTGTTGTCTATTTTTATTTTCCATTGACCTACAATGAAAACGTCACGATACCCATTCAGAGGATGAAACTGGAATCCATTGTCACGGATGGGATGATAAATATGAATCGGTACGAGGTGAGTTAAGCGCGGACGGGGGATTGCCCGGCCTTGGCAATGATCGGCCGTTTGGCTTACCGAGAACAGACATTGTCTGATGCCTCAGGTTGTGTACAGTACCAATCACATGAGGGTGTCTGGCCTGGCTCATCCTCGGAATCCATTCAGCAGTTTGACAAAGTCCTACGTAGTACGGTGGAATACGGAAGACTATCACCGGTGATGTAAGGAATGAATGGATGAATGAAACGAAAGGTACTTCGTAACTTTATGGATCACCTCCGTCCGGTGACGCACCTGAACAAGTGACAGACCATCGCAACAGCAACCCAGCTCTATCGAGACAAGGAATCTGATGCAGGGAATTCCGAGCCACTGGGTGTATCATCGTTAAAGACGTGGTGGGAGAAAAAAGACATCCACACTAAAAAAGCACAGGTCAACTGAGAGCCAATCTAATTGTAATTAAGTTGACCCGGGAGTGGGGACGCTGAAAATCTCAAACTTGCCGGTGGTTCTCGCTGGATTTGTGCCCACTGCCCGCAAGCGCGGACAGATCCTGATCCTCCTCATGCGGTTACGGTACATACAACATTCATTCGGCCAGGGGTCGACGACCCCGGCCGACGACATGAGCGGTGGAACAACAAGCATGAGTAGCTGAAAAGGCTAAAAGTACCTACTCCGTAACCTAGCCAGAACAGAACCTGAACCAACGACCGGAACTGCATGCGGAAGGGGGGAATAACAAGCAACGTCATGCGGATATGAGCATCCGTCACAGAGTCCGAGCAGGTGAGACGGCAGTTTGTTTCATCCCCACCGCTCAGGGCACATGGCGGTTTCCAGGAGGCCCGCCACCTTGCCTTTCCTGGGCCAGAACCCGAGTGGGCTGGCCACACCTCATCGTCGCCTGCAGTCCCGTGTTTGACCACGCCCGCTTGGGTTTAGATGATTCCGACTATCTCTTCGAATCACCATCGTCTCAGACGACAACGGAGCTTTTACCGTGCAATGATACTTACTAATTCGTTCTTTGTCCATGAAATTCTGGTTGTCTCTAAATCCCCCCTACCCTTGGGACCTCGAGGTTAGCTCAAGCTCTAGCTGGTCTTATCGTGGCATCTAGGGTTCATCAGGGTCTTTATCCCTTAGATGCTTGAGGGAAGCATAAGCATGGCCCGTAGAAACCCATAGCTTACACCTTAGACTAGTATGGAGTACATGGTCTCTATGTCATGCTGGATAAGTCGAGTGTACCCCACCTTGGACGCCTCATGTATCATTGGCCACCGGACGTAGCACATTTTGCCGTGGCCGATTTGGCACTGTGGAATCTTGAACGCTCCTGGAGGTCGAGACTATTCGATCTATGCAGCAAATCGCAGCGCACGACTAGCCGCGCCTGACTTGCCTGCCCTGCCCGTCGGAGCACCGGAACAAAAAAGAGGGTGAGTACGGAGTACTGGCTTGGTACTGAGCGCAACGTACTATTTGGGCAAGAATGATGCAGTCAGTCCCTCGCAAGAATCCCAATTCTTGGGCTTTCTCCATGCTGTGCTGCTGGTTCGATCGATTGCATATCAACCCCAGCGACGAACCGGCGGTTCAACCGAACCAGACTCTCGATCGACTTTTTCCACAACGAAAGGCACGAACGGCTGGAGAGGCGAATTCTTTGTCTTTCTGGAAGGTCCATTGTTCCCCCATTCTGGGTCTCAACCAGCGCCAATTCTAAGCCGAACCGCAGGTGAACAAAGGACATTGCAAGCAAGCAATTGAACCTTACTGGACCGGAGGTTTGGCGCAGGGCTTGATCATCCACGGAACCACCCACCAATTTGACCTCCCGAACAGCCCAGACTTTTTTTGTTCTGCGAGATAAAGTGGAGATTAAAAGCGCTGAGGGAGACTCCAGAGAGGCGGATAATACGGTACGGGTTTATGCATGGAGTAGAGCAAAAAGAAGACGGGAAAAAAAAGAGAACGAGAGCAAAGAGAGATCATCCCCCTCTCCCCAATAACGTTCCTGGTTGACTAGTCCACGGTGACTCGACTCTCTGTGGTTGTGTTGCCTCTTTTCCTTTGCTTCCTTCCTTCGGTCCCGTCCGTCGTCTGCCCTTTTCTTTCCTTCCTCCCCGGGCCTCCTCGTCTGCTTCTTCCTCCTCTTCCTCCTCCTCTTTCCCCTCTTTCTTCCCTCCTCCATTCCTCCTTGGGGTTTATTTGCCGTTCCTTTCTCGTACTTTGATTCTTACATCCTCGATCGGAGAATCCTGGATCCCCTTCCTTTCCTTTCCTTCCCTTCCTTCCTTGCCTTCATACCTTGAAAGGCCTTTTAATTCTATTCTCTTCTGTGGCGCGTCCTGGTTGTCCGCCCGGACCTTCTCTGTACATCTCGGTGCTGCTGCAAACTCGTTGGCTCCCCCTTGAGTCGTGCAGTTCATCCTTTCCGAATATCCTATCTGCCATCCGACCAACTGCTTTCTTCCGTTCTGCTGTGCACGAATTATTCTGGAAGAAGTACACCAAACCTATCGACATCGACAGGAAACGTCTATTGATTTGGTCTCATTTCGGAATTTCAAGAGCGCCTCAGTCGTATCTGATAACGGACATTCCGGCAATCGATCTTCCATTCCTTCTTGGTCTCCGCCACCCCGCGGTCATCCACTACCCATTCTCAGTCTATTCCGCACAAGGCGACTGGCACTTTTGCAAACGAATTGAGTACCTGAAGAAAAGCCTCTAAAAATAGGAAACGACGCCCACAGCAACTCCCATATCTTCTTACCAGAAGAAGCGAACGACGCACAAACAAATAGGCCGACTGATCCACTTGGATAGATCGGCCCTTATCAGCACCGATTGATCATCCATCTGTTGTTCGTATAGATCCCGAGCACCACCACCATGTCGACTCTCACCAGGGCTTTCACGAAGCGCAGCAAGCGCCCCGAGGTTTCCGCGCCGATGCCTTACCGTGAGGGACATTCCAAGTTCAGTGCAGGCACTATCAACCGAGGCAAGATCTCTGCGCCCGTCGAGTTATTGTCGACCACGAACATGCTGGCCTACAATGCTCCGGACCTTCATTCTGCGTCCTCATCTTCAACATCCTCAATTCAGTGGCCTGATGATTCCGATGTCTCATTTACACAGCGAAGCTTTGGATCGCCTTCGACAACCCCGGGCGAGTCCCCAGTTGATGCCGATCCCGCCCCTCTACCCACTTACTTTCCCAAGCGCTCAGCGACTGTCAGCAGCCACACCACTCCTCGTTCGTCAACATCCACCGCGTCTTCAGCGGAGGCACCTCTGGTACCCAAGCGCGCTCTGTCTCACACGAAGCGCTCGCATCAAGAGCTAGCTCGCAAACGCTCTGTATCTCGACTGTCGCCTCCTCCTTTGAACTCGACACGCAGCACCTCTGCTGCTCGTCAAGGTTCTGAGGCTTATCACATGGAGCCTCACCCTTTCAGCAAAGAACTTGAGCAGGTGAACGAGGTTGTCGAGGAGTTCGGTGGTACGCGCGTGCTCGATGAGGAAGAACTGATCTTGCGAGACAAAGGGCTGAGGAAGTTCACTGTTGATGAGTATCTGGTGGAGATTGAAGACCTCTATGGGAGCGTGTTCGATGATTGGCTTGGTCCAATTGCCTCTGGCACCTGGTTCTAAGCAGTTGGCGCTCCTTTCCATTCCTTCACGATTTCTGATGGCCACTGTCCAGTGAGATGGCCTTCTGGGTACTGGATTATCCCTTTTCTTTAATCAGGTGCTAGCCTGTGTCATGACCCACTCGTATTCACTCTTTTAATGTCTTGTCATATAATTGCCCTTTTGAACCTTCATCCGCTATATACCACGGGAGGATTGTGATTGTCTGTGTCCCATGTTTGTTTCTCCTTGAACTGTGTGTGTATTGTGGCTGCCATGTGATAACATTGCATATCTGTTTGATAGAAATGTCAATTTGTGCTACCGAATGCGACCATGGTTTCTATCTCTGTCTCTGCTTATTTTCGGCAATAGTAGTTTGCTTCCAGCGAGTGAATACTTGCCATTCCCAATGCAATAGATTCTCATAGTACGTGCAGAAAGCATCGAGAGGTCGATCAGATTGAGGCACAAAGCGGAGCGAAGACTCCAAAGAGACAGATCCCAGCCGGAAACATACATACTGTGTATGCCCCAAGTAGGCAAGGCCTCAGGCGCGAGGGTCACGTCACGCGCTAGTCACGGGGTTCCGGCCTCAGGCTCCATATCCGCCCCACACCCAAAAAATTTCATGCTGTGTCTTCTACGTCTTCTCCGCCTTGCGTTCAAGTTCCTAATCTTCCCTCTCCTCTTCCAGCCGTTCTCCTCTCCGTTGAAGTCTCCCTGTGCCCGCCTTCCACGTTCTCCCCTCTTCCTGGCGCTGTGTGTGTCTTTCAATGGATGGATTAAGGTGCTTATTTCCTTGATCATTTATTGTGTCCATCCCCCTGTAGCAACGTCCGAGGTTCACTGAACGACTTGCCTCAGCCGTGTCGTGTGCATCGCGTTATCATCCACCATCTGACCTGTCGACAGCTCTCCTCTGTCATCTCCCCCACGCTGAGCAGGCCCCTCTTTCATTCGTCCTGAATGGAATCCGGTTGCTGTTACAATTCCCTTGCATCCATCCTTCCATAGAAATATCAGTTCGGTCATGGTCGGATCCATTACCACCGCCTCGCGCAGGCCGTTGACCAATCCTTCTAAGATGCTAGCCAAAGCGTCCCCCGTGCCCATTTTGAAAACACCCAAACGAGAAAACTCAGTGATCGGCATAAAGCGCAGGATGGAGGACGACGATCTCTCTCTGTCACCGTCTTCGTCGCTGAACTCCGAGACCGAATACAACCCCAGTCCTCGCAAGCGAGCTAGGGTCAAGTTTGAACCGGAGGTGGAAATGCGCGAACTTCCCTACTATGAGAGAGCGCCCGAGCAGGAGTCTAAGCCAGAAAAGAGTGCCTCGGTCGTACGAGAGGAGGTGCGTCGGGCCATCCAACGCCATGTCTCTGGCACCGACAGTGAGGCGTATGACCGGATCAAGGAGCTCTTCTCGGTGGATCCTCGACGTCCGGATGAGGATCACCTTCTTCTATCTGATGTACCTACACCCACATCCTTGAGATATCATCTGATGGGTCTTTCGTCAAACGTTGCCGCACTAGATCGCAGTTGCAACGGACTAGTCCAGGCGGTGCTGAATAGTGTGTGGCTCGGTCGCGACGAGTCCTATATCAAGCTGTATATACGCTTCCTTGGTAATCTTTCTGCCGCCCAGGGCATTTATCTGGGACCAGTGCTCAAGATGCTGGTTAATTACATGGGCGAGCTTCCCAAGGACACTGGCAAGGTGCCGGGCTACGTCCCCGTGCCGGCCTCGGAGATCTACATGCGAGTCCATATGGCCCTGCGCTATGTCATGCAGTTGATCCCGTCTGGCAGTGGATCGCTATCCCCAATCTTGTCCATGCATTTCCCTTTCGATACGGATTCTGCCAAGGCCAATATTGCCTACACGAGCAACCTGCTCAAGATCAGCAGCTATACACCGGAGCTGCAAGCAGACATTCTAGCTCTGATCACAGAGAAGGTCGTCAAGATTGACGTTCAGATCCAGGTTGATCTGGAAGAAATCGAAGACGAAGTAGGCGAAGACGTTTTGCGCGGCGTCTCGCCAGAGGCTATCATGGCCGACGACGAGGAGGACGATGACGATGACGACGCTTCCGTCCTGAGCGATGAGTCTGTAGACGACGACTCTCAGCGTATCAAGACCGTTCGCGACAACATCCTGAAGCTGGACGGCATGATCGATTTGTTATTCGAATACTACGCGCCGGCGTTCGCATCCGGCTCCTTTCAGGATAAGGAGAACGCCCTCGAGCTCTTGTTGAGCCACTTTCAGACCATTATTCTTCCCAACCATCGCTCCCGCCACACTCAGTTCCTCCTTTTTCACTACTCCCAAACATCTCCCGAACTCGCGGAACGCTTCGCTTCCACCTGTATTCACACTATGACCAACCGGAGACAGCCGGCCATCTTGCGGCAATCGGCTGTCGCCTATCTGGCTAGTCTTGTCGCGCGTGGCGCCCATATCTCTGGCGAGATGGCGCGAGATGTGTTCGACCTGCTAGGTGCTGAATTGACCAGCTTCCGTAACGAATTCGAGGACACGTGCCGGGGACCCGACCCCCGTCGATACGGCCTCTTCTACTCGATATCCCAGGCATTGCTCTATATTTTCTGTTTCCGCTGGCGGGACCTGACCACGGCGGCAATCGAAGGTGACACGCCAGTGCAAGTTGAAGAACTGGAACCTGAAGACATCCTATTCCCGCCCTCGGTCAAGGAGGTGCTTCGTCAAACTATCTACTCAAAGCTCAACCCGCTCAAAGTGTGCTCGCCCGCTATCGTGACACAGTTCGCCCGGATGTCTCAACACTTCAACCTGATGTATGTGTACAGCATTCTGGAGACAAACAAGCGCGTTCGGATTTCGACCTATCGCAGTTTGTCTGCATTGGCGGACCCGCGCTTTCACCAGGTGGAGCGAGAGATCCGCGCGGGAGATGACGTCGGTTATCAAGCAGACTCTTACTTCCCCTTCGATCCATACCAGCTCCCTCGCAGTCGCCGTTGGTTGGAGGGTGACTATGTCGAGTGGCGGGGTATCCCGGGCTTGGATAATGAAGAGGACGACGAGGACGACAGTGAGGCAGATGACGACGAGGATGTGTCCGACGACGACTTGAGCGTTGGGACCGAGACTGATGACGATATGTAACGGATGAACAAAAAAGTGTTTTCTGGTGAAGGACCAAAGAAAAGCAAAAGCGCTAATTCCGTGTTTCTTGTGCTTGGCGAGCCCAATACCCTTTTTCTCTCTTAGATCTTTTCGTTCCCACATTGATTTTCTTTTGTTTCACTCTTCCGTTCTAGCCAGCTGCTGTCTCGAGCTGATTTCATTTGATGCATGGGGTTACATGACCATGTCGGCTATGTGCTTTGCCAATATTCTTCTGTCCTGTTTTGGGGGGTGCTGAGGCCAAATATATCTTGTGAGAATGATTTTGGTACAACCTTGTTCATCTACATAGCCAGTTAGATGATCTTTTTCTAACCCTACCAGATCAGATGTCTTTCCCCAATTGTTCTTCGAATCTTATATTGCCGCTTATAAACAGTGGATAATGTACTGGAATCGCTTGCAGGATAACGCTCTGCAGACCTCGTCCTAGCTTGTAGGAACCTTTTTGTGAAAACTGATTACAAATTGCCCGGTTAGCTCAATGGCTAGAGCGTCCGACTTTTAATCGGAAGGTTGCGAGTTCGACCCTCGCATCGGGCGGTTTTCTTTTTGCTTTGTTTCTTGCTTGCTGGCACTACGGGGTATGTGGTATACTCCGTAGATATTCGAGGAAGAACAAGCATGCTCTGCTGAGGGAAGAGAGTCGTCTGAGTGGGTGGGAGGTGGGGAAAGATAAAAAAAAAAAAAAAAAAAAAGGGGGGGGGGGGGGGGGGGGGGGGGACAGAGAGAGAGAAAGGAGCGGAACAGAAATGTTAGCTTGGGAATGATTGTGCTTGCACTGCTCTGTGTGTGTGTGTGTGTGTGTGCGCGCGGGGGGGTAATTCAACAAATTGCCATCCTCTGACGGCCTATCTAGTCGATTTTCTTATGCTATAGTCGAGACCCAATGACAAGTAGTTCCGCGCCAGGTTTTGCGGCTCCTTCTACACATCTCCATCTCAGATTCAGTGTAGCGGAAGGTCCATGAGGGGGTTATTTTTCAGCTGGGTTACATACCATTATCCATTATTCAGCTTCAGTAAATTTCCCCATGGTGATACACGCCTTGAACTTTTTAGACACGAGATAGGCAATAAAAGGAAAAGAATGACGAAAGAGAGAGAGAGAGTGTGTGTGTAAGACGTCCGGCGAAAGGGTATTCTACCCCCCAACGCGCCCACCTGTCAGTGCATGGGTGCGCAGTTCAAAGGCATGATGGTAGGATATAGCATTTATTACGTGGTGAGTATCTCAACCAACGCCCCGTTGGCACAATTGGTCAGCGCGTGAGACTTTTAATCTCAAGGTTGTGAGTTCGAGCCTCACACGGGGCGCAAGTTTCCTTTTTTGGTCGGGTGTGTCTGTCCTTTTGCCACGGCTGCGCTAAACCCACGATATAAGGTCTACTGGGCCGCCAGTTCTCCAACCAGGCCCGGTTGGCACAATTGGTCAGCGCGTGAGACTTTTATGACATCTCCCGGTTTCGGGAGTCATAATAGTGATCTCAAGGTTACGAGTTCGAGCCTCGTATCGGGCGGGGTTATTATTTTTCTTTTTTTTCTTTTCTTTTCTTTTTTCTTTTGGTGGTCTTCTTTGGATTGGTTTTCTGGGCTTTATTTAATGTCTTCAGGGATAAATTGGTGGTGGTGATGACTTTTATTTACTACGTCTACTACCATCCCAATGGGCTGTGGTGTTTGTTGGATGTCCATGGGCTTGATTCACATGACTATTCCATTCTACTACGTACACTGGTAACCCTGTCGCGGATATATTCTTCGCTCTATACTTCCGCGGCGTGGTTCCGACTCGGCAAAATCCAGGTGTTGAAAAGTGTCATTCGCCATGGAGTCGATTGTTCCCTACCAGGTAGAGTAAGTATCAATTAATCGCAGCTCTTCCCTGAGCATGGACTTTGCCAGGCACGCAATGTCATGCCGATGGTCTATGTATGTTTTGTATGCGTTCAACAACCCCAAAATTGAAGCACAAGGCAATAAGTAGAAAATGGTTGAGCAGGTATGATGGATGATAGCCCAGGAAACTTGCAACGAGCCCCATGCACCATAGAGATATACATACTCCGGACCATCGACGATGGCTCTTTCAAATTTAGACGATGATCGATGGGTGGCCTGCCGTTGTGCCATAGTGAGCGCTGCATGGCCGTCAAGTAGCGATGATGATGCGAGGTAGATTGATGGATCCCGTAGAGGTATGAAATGGCCATGGGGCGTTTAGAAATGGCCTCTGGGTGCCCTGCAGAGTCAAGAGCCATGCTTCGTGGGTGTAGCCACGAAGATTACGCCCCTAAAGAGGTCTGTCCTGTCCACGAATCCCAGGATATTTACCCCAAGCCCGATTCTCGAAGTAGAACAAATTGGTTCGGTGTCCGTGTTAGATACCTTGCAGTCGTACTGTCGACCACAGGCTCTACAGTGTCCATCAATCCGTTTCTCACGCGGGCAAGCTGATGGAGGCCGCGGTAATAGCCAACCGTGGCAGACTGGATCTCCTAGTTGACCTGGCACAGCTTCTTCCACCGAGGTCTGATAGACCGTAGGTTGAATAGGATAGCTAAGCATGCGCTGTGCATTTGATTTTCCCTGTCTCCCCGTTATGTTCTGTTTCATCTCTCTCGACGGCCACGGTTCTAGACTGAGTCGGTAGGCGGTATACAGTCATGCTTTCAGGTGTTATATATTCGGCTTTGAGTTCGAGATGGAGATTGACGATAGAGGTAAGATAGCGAACATTTGGCTCGATTGATCGAGTGTTGCAATGACGTGTGAGGTGTGACTCTGAGTGTCACAGAATAAGCAGACCGCAAGCCAGACCGTGACTTCAAAACAAAAAGAGGAGCCCCCCCTTGACCTTCGTTTTGTAGATCGAGACTGGTTGAGGTGTTTCACTGTCTCGCAAAGCACTGCCCCTGAGTGTTGTCTCTGTCAGGATTTCGGAATGAAAGCTTCTTGGGGTGTAGATACTGAAACCGAGAACCGTAATTACGTGACGAGAGACCTGGTGACTCCTGGCTTCTGCCATTGCACCACACCCCGGAACTAGATGTAGTTGCTGTTCTGCTCTTCGTTTCGAGGGATTTTAGATACCGGGAGAAATAGACAGGTGAATAGAAGGCGAATGGGGTAATAGAATCCAAAGGCATAGACACCTGAGACTGACAGGAGAAGGAGAAAGAGAGAAGTGTAATAGGTAGTGTGCACTTGGGCTGCCCGGTTGTTTTTGAAAACAGCGCTGGCTCATCACCTGACGCTGGTGTCCCTGGATCAATCTTTCTGACTGTGTACTGGGCCGTTGATATATTTGTCCTCTGCCTCGACGTCCACCCCCATAGATGAGGTGGAAGGAGGTGAAGACGAGAGCGTGGAACCTGGGTGAAAGAATAGCTTGGGGGGGGGGAGCAATTCGTGGCTAGTCATGTAGACGTCGAGTGTATAAAGTCTTTGCTGGGTACTAAGATACTATAGGGGAGGTAGACCGGCATGAGCATTCATGGTGATCAGCCTGTGGGCAAACCAGAGTATGTATATCCGAGATGCGGGACTATTTCCCGCCCTTTCTGATTCTTCCCATAAAGAAATCATGTATATGCAAGATTGTAGATGATGCCTGCACACTGCACCGCAGCAACATCAAACCGCGCAAAGCAGCGCGCATACATATGTACACATAAAGATATCCACCCAGTAGTGACGCCGGTGCCAGCCATCGCAAGACTCAAGATGTTCCCCACCAAAAGAACCCGCTTTAAGAATAGATTAACTCGCTCATCGCTAAAAAGAAAACAATAATAGGTCTTGCACTCGGTTGTTGTGTATGCGAATGCGTGTAAGTGTACGGATACAGCCCATCTTCTTTTGAGTTGCTCTACTCTTCGTCCGTTCTTTACGATTCAAAAATACGCTTCATGGCGGCACAAGCCTCCTGATAGAGGATATCCACACTGACCTGATCCCGGAACGGATTGGGCGACTTGTCCCATCCGTGCTGAACCTTCTCGATCATCATGGCGCGCACGTGCTTCTGGATCTTCTGCAAGCGGCGCACGAACTCCTGACCCTCCTTAAGCAGCATGTCCCATTCGCAGATGTAGAGGAAGATGTCGTGCGGCAACGCGTCGCCGAGGATCTCGTCCGAGGCGCGCACGGGTGAGGCGTAGGGCGAGCGGCGGTCGGCGTGGTTGGGGAGGTAGGATTCATCGAAGAGATCGGTGAAGAAGGCCGGGAGGGTCTTGCTGGGCATGAGGCTCATGGCGCGGCGGTGATCGCGGGACTCCTCGAAGTCGAGGATGGGATACCAGCAGAAGAGGGCGACGATGTTGAGCTCATTGGACGGGGATTGGACGAGATGCTGGGAGGAGTCGGTGTGGATCACATGCGACAGCGTGGAGTTGTTGGAGTTCTGTTGGCTCAGCAGGCCTCGGAGACGGAGCGGGACGGTCACCGCTAAATTGCCGCCAGCCGAGAAGCCGCTGAGGGCGATCCGGGAGACATCTAGACTCAGCTCCGTCGCATGGGCGGCGAGATACTGCAGTGCGCGCACCCCGTCGTCCACGGCCGCGGGAAACGGATGTTCGGGGGCGCGGCGATAGCCCACGCTGACAACGACGGCCCCGACTTCCGACAAGATGCATTGCGCCCAGCGGCTGTCGTCGGTGGCGTGGCCGAGCGTGAACCCGCCGCCGTGGAAGTTGACGACGACCGGAAGCCGGCGGCCTTCTTTTTTGGCGACCTGATAGTCCTTTGGGCAGTAGAAATGAAGATGGATCCGCGCGGAACGCGAGTCGGATTCAGAGGAAGGAAAGGAACGGCGAAAGGTTGGTCGAGAGGGACGTGGGGGAAGGACATCGTGGATAAACATGCCAATGCGCATAAGGAACCGCCAAAAGATGGCCTGGACATATAACCACCAGCGGGACGAGTGAGCCATGATTAAGTGATTGGGCCGGTGATAATTCAAGCATGCACGGGAAGAATAAGGTTATGTTATGGAGAAGAGGATGGATCCAGTATATTCCCAGCGAGAAACTGGCTGAGAGGCAGAGAGTGACGAAGCGAGAGATCAAGAGAATGGAGGATGTGGGTGAGATGGGAAGGATGGAATGGTGATCAGTTGATGCCAAGCATGGGGCGTCTGATGCAGCAAGTATCCGAATACGGAGTCGATAGACAGACAAGCATCGAGGGGGGAAGTAATAATACGATGAAGATGAAACCCAAAGGCCAAATAGCAAAAGGGCCAAATGACCACGAGGAAGAAACTCAAGTCTTGGATCACATCATAGTTGCTAAAGATTCCGGTTTTGACAAGGGAAACTGTTGTTGCTTAGGGCTGAAAGAATGATCCAAAGGAGAGAAAAAGGAAAGAAATCGCCGTTCCGACACTCTTTCATCATTCCCACATGACATCATTGCCTGTCTTCCGGCCTCGGTCTCTGCGATCTCCAGCAACGGAGTCAATACTGATCTTCCATTCGTGGCTTGTGCTCCCTTTTTCTTTTCTTGTCTTTAGCTTATTTTTGTTTTCTGCTACTCCGTACTCCGTACTACGTATTGTATAGCTTTCTTGCTTGTTTGCTTGAATCCTGATCCACCCGTGGTTCTCCTCTTCCTCGAATTGACTTACTTGAGGATTAATAAACCTAGTAAGCATCTGGACCCTGGTTGGGCCCGATTTCTTCCTTCTTCGTATTAAAACGCTCATTGCATCCTGCCCTCCCCTCTCTTGTTTGCCCAGCCCCTCCTTCTGCTTAATTCTCTAGTCTTATTAATTACCTTATCTTCCCTCTCTCATTTTCCCCCTCCTCCTCCTCCTCCTCCTCCTCCTCCTGTTCGTCTTACTTCCTCTTCCCACCACCATTCTCATAACACTAATACTACCCCCTCCTCCTCTCCCATCTGGGAGAACTACCCCTCACCATGTCGATCAAACGTGCTCTTTCAAAGATCAAAACGTCCAGAACGTCCACCGGGGAGGATGGTCACAGCAGTCCCTCCGTGTCCCTCTCCCCGCGTCGCAGCATCTTCAGCAACATCCTGCGCGATCGCGACTATGTTTCCTCCTCCGATGATGTCTCGGACGATTCCTCTGCCACCGGGGGAATGAGCAAAAACCAACAAAAGCGCCTGGCCCGGAAACAGCGCAAGGAGAGTTCGCGCCTCAGTGAGGATCGTCACTCAGAGGATTCGGACATGCGTCACAAGGAGGAGATTGCTACTGCCGCCCGTGAAGAGACCGCCGAGATGAAGGCTCGATATGGCGAACTACCCCTCATGCAGTCCCGAACCCGTACTCATGAGCTACGTACCAATTTCACGGACATTTCTGCCTCTCTGGTTGGCCAGGAAGTCTACTTCACGGCCCGCCTGCACATCATCCGTCGCATGAGCGCCAAGCTGGTCTTCTTAGTCTTCCGCCAGCAATTGTTCACTTTCCAGGGTGTTCTGCATGATGAACCAGGCGTGGTTTCCCTAGCAATGGTTCATTGGGCCGAACATCTTCGCTTGGGCAGCATTGTTCGGGTTCGGGGCGTTGTTCAGGCCCCTCAGGTCCCCGTCTTGGGCTGCACCATTCATGATGTTGAAGTTGCTATCAAGGAGCTGCATCTCGTTGTCCGTCGCGAGGAGCCCGTTCCCTTCAGTGTCTACGAGGCTGAAATTCAGACTGCCGAGGAAGAACGTGTTGAGGGGCGACGCAGTCGCATTCCCGATAGAACCCGTCTCGTTAACCGTCTGCTTGACTTGCGTACCCCCACCTCTCAATCCATTTTCCGAATCCAGTCCGCCATCGGAAACCTCTTCCGTACCGCACTCGACGAACAGAACTTCATTGAGATCCACACCCCCAAGTTGCAGGGTTCCGCCACGGAGTCTGGCGCCAGTGTCTTTCATGTTCAATACTTTGGTCGGGATGCTTTCCTGGCTCAGAGTCCGCAATTGGCCAAGCAAATGGCCATCGCGGCCGACTTTGGTCGAGTCTATGAGATTGGTGCTGTCTTCCGTGCGGAGAACTCGAACACTCACCGCCACCTGACCGAATACACGGGCTTGGATATTGAGATGGCTATCGAGGAGCACTACCATGAGATGCTCGAGGTGTTGGACTCGGTCATCAAGAACATTTTGGAAGGTGTCTACCGCCGCTTCCGGCGCGAAGTTGACACCATCAAGCACCAATTCCCGTCCGAAGATGTCGTCTGGCTGGAGAAGACCCCAATTCTCCGATTCTCGGACGGCATTAAGATGCTGAACGACTCGGGCTGGCGGGACGAAGACGGTAACCCATTGCCTGAGGACGAGGATCTGAGCACCCGCGATGAGATTCGCCTGGGCGAACTCGTGAAGGAGAAGTACGGCACTGATTACTACATCCTCGACAAATTCCCCGTCAATGCTCGTCCTTTCTACACCATGCCTGATCCTGAGGACAGCCGGTTCACCAACTCCTTCGATATCTTCATTCGTGGCCAGGAAATCGTCTCCGGTGGTCAGCGTATCCATGACCCACACATGCTGGAAGAGAACATGAAGCGCGTGGGCATTCAACCAGACACTATGGAGGAATATATGGAAGGGTTCCGCTGGGGAGCTCCCCCTCACGCGGGTGCTGGCGTTGGTCTTGAGCGCTTGCTGATGCTGTTGCTGAAACTGGGCAACATCCGCTTGGCTTCCCTCTTCCATCGTGATCCCCGTAGCTTCCCCGCGAAGCCTCCTGTGATGCAATTGCGTCACCCCGAATCGTCTACCATTG